AAATTAGCATAATAAAATGTAAAGTGAGATCTTACAGACTTAGAAGGTGGACCTTATTTACAAAGTCTGTGTTAAGTTGATTTTACCAAATCATGCTCATCTTCTCTCAGAATTCATTCACTCTGACACTCACATGCATAAGCACGAAGACACGTGTGCAAGTCATCTGGACACAGAGGACAAGGGATGCCTGTTGTCAAGTACTCATCACTTCTCTGGAATTCTTGACTGGCGACAACTTTTTTGGACAGTCACCAGCTGTTACAGGGTGGTCCTTTGCTTTAATCTTGCTGATTTCAACGTTCATAAATTATGGACAATACTGTTGCCTGGTACTTGTTTTTCTCAGTTTGGAATATTAACAAAGAGAAGGGATAGTGTATGCAATAAGCTGCAACCTTGTTGCCATCCTGGTTTTAGGCTGCAGGGTCTTTCCTTGCCAGTTGCTTGTACTGTGATCTTACCAGAGCGCAGGCTTAGTTAACTTTGCAGAAATAATGTATTCCTTGCTGTTACTGCTGGGAATGGTGTCTTGGGAACAGTGTCTGTCATTAGCATACAGGCCATTCTCTTAATCCTTTTTTCTGCTGTTTCTTGTGCTTGTTTGCACACAAGCATTTCCACTCATACATACTCCATTTACATGCCGACCTTAATATTTTTGTTGCAAGTCTCTACAAGATCCTTCGCAAGCATTTTTGCTACTTGTAGATATCAAAACCAGTTATGGTGGTTTAGAAATGTCTAGTTTAATGGAGACTTGAGCTGTACGGTGTCACTTCCTCAGAAAATAAATAAAAAAAAAAGATTAAAGTATTTTCTTCACATTAAGATTTCTGTTTAAATTAGACTTGTTTTCAAAGAAAGTATGTGATAAACTTACTTGAAAAAACTGGACAACTATCCTAGTTGGGTTGTTCCACTGTAATTACTGCTGTACTACAACGTCCTCTCTAGTGTTAAATTCCTGCTTAAATGTACAGGTGAGGTGTGGGCTATTCCTGAAAAGTGTTTTCACAAAGTAGATACTGTAAAACATGAAAATGTATATTCTTACAGAACTTGTGCAGAGACAAAACTAACTCTTTGGAGAAAATGAGACAGAGGATTGAACGATACAAACAAGATGTTGAGAGATACCATGAGCGCAAGCGCCATCTAGACTTAATTGAGATGCTTGAGAGGAAAAGGCCCTGGGTGGTAAGTTTTAATTTTCTTGTCAATGTTTTTTTTTTGCCTAACCCATTTTTCCTAATACTGCAATATTGGAAATATGCCAAAAGTTTCTTCAAAAGAAATTTGACCAGAGTAACTTGAACCTCATTACAGTTGCTTAGTGCAAAAAGGCCAGGTCTTGAAATACTGTTCTTGAACTAACTGTCATCAGAGGTTTGCTTGCGTATGTAACTGGACTGAAGAAGTTGCTTGAGGATTAGCTTAACTGGTTACTGCCCATTTAGGAAAGCCAGCAATATAGACCAAGAGCAGTATTCCTTTTATTTCTTGCAGACAGAACTGGCTTAATTTAAGCTGTGCCTAGCCAGTTCCACGTGCTTCTTCCAGCTGTAACTTTTTTCTTTTTACAGAATGTGCTTTTTGATGGTGGGTGGTTGGTTGTGTTTTTTGGTTTTTGTTCTTTTTTTTACAGGTTGCCTTCCCCCTTTGCTAATTTTAATTATTAATTGAGGTTTGGTGTGCATGACATAAACCATGGTGAATATAGGTTGCCAGTCTCAAAAATGCTGACATTTGGAAAGATGGAAATTTTAAACAAATTTAAGAGCCTAGAATCAAGGACAGGTCATTGATAAAAAGCAAAATAAGTCTTTCTGAAGAGCACTTTGATTGTAGTTTAGTTTAATGTGGAATGGTCAGTCAGATGAAATTATCATAAACAGTTTAAGATTATGTGGATTTTATTATATTGAAGCAATATGTTGTTTGCCTTGTTTGCAAGCTTTATAGAATTAACGAAATACAGATGCAGAACTTATGAACACTTACATGTTATATTTGTGGCAGATACAGAAAACTTTTATAAGGTATTTTATTGCAATTTTGCAGATAACAGTGTCTCACATGGGTATACAGAGAACTTTGTCCCATGTATCTTGAAGAGCAACTAGATTCAGGGGAGGTACCTTCACTGCCTTCAAACCTCCATGCTAACAGCACAGAGGAGCAGCAATTGAAGTAGAGGGGTAGTGGTAGGTGCTAAGGAGGTGGGCTGTACATCCATTAGATTGGACTTCTGCACTTGCTGAATGATGCAGGTTTTCCCTACTCAACATGCATTAGACTGGCTTAGTTAAGAAGAAGAGAGAGTTATTTGTATTAGGAGAGATGTAGGTCTTGTGTGGTTAATGTAAACTGATACTGGTTGTTCTCTAAGATATTTGCAGATAGAGAAGTCTGAAGGCTAGTCGGAAACTGGCAGGGGGAAACTAAGTTAAGAATCTTATCTGCTGTCAGTTAGATTGCCTTCTGTAAGCTTGAGAACATTGTTGTTATTTATATGTTTCTTAAGCAAACTTAGATTTCTTCACACCTTACCCTTTCACTGCTGTCTTCTAGGCAGTTTATGTTGCTGCGTATGTTAAATATTTTGGTGGGTACACTCAATCAGGAGAAATGTAGCTTTTTGGCCACTGAATCCATAGAAAACAACAGTGTGTTTTGACACCTGCGTGAAGTTCCAAGTTGTCCTACAGAATCAGTAGTGTGTACCAGATTGTTTACCAGAAGTCATTTGCCTGTGGATAGTCTACAGTTGAAATCAAGGGTCATCAACATAATTCTTTTACTAGGTAGAAGATACTTGACCTACAGGCTGCAACAAAATTTCACATTCCATTGTGATCTTCAGTGTACAAGATTGTTGCTGTTTTGTGGTTTGTCAAATCCTTCTGATAGATCTCTTGGTATCCTCCTATATTGCAAAATGCCAAGCTCTCTCTAAAAGGAGTAGTGCATTCTCTTACAAGGGTGTATTTCTTTGTCATCTGACCTAGCACTGTTTAATCCTAAGAAGAAATGTGTTTGATGTCTTAAAATAGGGTTTACCAAAGTTGAGAGTAGCAGGGGGGTTTATTCTTCCTTCTGTGGATCTTCCCCTTCCCCCATCCTCCCCAACAGGTAAGTTTCTACTTGTAGACGAAACATACCTAGCTGTTTAGAATTGCCCCTGTAACAAAACAGAATATCTAGGTGAGCCTCCAAAACAGCCAGGAGACAGATGTATAAGCACTGCAGTATGTTACAGAATGGAGAAGACAGGCAGCCTGAAAACAGGTCAACTGAAATACCGCACTAGATTGTATCTTGGTCCTAGTGGAAAAGGACGAGTCTGCACTGAACTTGTTTTACTGTTTGACCACTGTAGAACTGTGTTTTTATTCTGAAGACTCCACTGCTCTTCACCTGAGGAACACTTTTCTAGTCAAGTGTCTTTTCTAGTCAGTGCCAGCTGCTTCTGTATGTGGAGAATTATACACCATTTTTATATATGTCTATGTCTAATAGGCTTTTGAGCATCTGCTTTAAATTCCATTAAAAGGACCCTAGGAGTATAATGTTAAAGATTTGGACTCAAGGATTTAGGGGATGTTTTATGTTCTTGTCTGTATCTTAATGGGACTTCTATCAAATGATTGTGTCATCTATAATCACTGAGCAGATTTAAGGAGATACAGTTTTTTGACATAGATAGCCCTTCTTTTGTAGGGCCTTAAAGAAAAGGGATTTCTTACCCCTCCAAGCTTAAGGTAGTATGGAATACCATAAGGTGTACTGTTTTAAGGTAGTATAGCAGCAGGAGGTGCTGTTCCTGCTGCTGTAAGTGTCCTGAAAACACGTAATTCTGAAAATGTGTTTTGACCAAGCTATGTCAGTTCTTCTTTTCCTCTTCTTCCATTTACAATTCAGAAAAGCTTTGTTCTGTAGTTTAGGTGAAAGTATCTCTTGGGAGAGTTGAAATCCTTTGGAAGTTCTGCAGATATTTACCTAAGTGCATAATTACAAGCATCAAGGTTATTTGCTTAAAGGTTACCAAAATACAGAGGTCTGGTGTGAGTCAGATTTTCTTAAAGTGTTAAAGGGATTGACTTGACTTATCGTCACAAATTCTACAGAAACTTGCCTGTACTTTGTATCTGAAGAAATTACATGTAGTTGTATGTGTGTGCATTTGTTTTAACCTTGAAATATAATACCTTATTAGAGATGAGCTAATTTTTGAGCTTATTCTATCGGCTAAGTGGAAGTATAATTGCTTTACCTCTGTAACTTTGTAATGGTGGCTAGTAATTGTACTCTACATCATGGAATTAAAGCAGCCTTCTTCAAATACTTTATGGCTTTATTAAAAAGAGTCTATGAAGAAAGAATTTGGATTTAATAGCCTAAACTGGTTTATTTGTGATTAATTGAGTGTGTTTACAAGCAGGGTAATAAAAGGCCTAACTAGGAAAAAGTGGTAGCAGATCAAGCAAAGTTCGCTGCTACAGATAAAGCTTGCAGGGTAGCTTTAGTATTTTTTCAGTGCTCCAAAACTTGGAATAATCCAGGTATATCCTCTGATTCGGGGCTTTCTTTAGTGCCTGGCAAATCCAACAGTTTTCGTTTCCTGTGCAGTCCCACGTACATGTATCCACTTCTCCTCCCTTTGGTCCTCCGAGTGTCTTTTTTCTCATGAACCCTTAACAATCATTAAAAGTTGTGTTCTTACGTGTTTGGGGTTTTTTTTGGGGGGGTGGGGGGTGTTCTGTTCCTTTTTTTTTTTTTTTCTTTTTTTTTTCCTCTCCAGGGAGCTTAACACAAAAAAAATCACCAGTAATGACTCCTTCAGATTAAATTCCCACCTTCTTGAAGTGGAGGTTCTTGGTCACCACACTGCTTACCATCTCTTTCAGGAGTGCATCTCCAGTTAAACTCCCTAGATAGTGACTTCTCTGGTATTTGTGGTGTATGGTGGAGTTTTTGTTTGTTTTCCGAAGTTCTGTTCCGCTCTGTCTCTCTCCTTGGTTTACTTCAGGGTTATGTCTGTTACTGGCTCTGATGATCTGTCCAGCTTCTTCCTTTTCTTTCTCCTGAAGTTGTCTGTGGTTATTTGCTCCTTAGCTTGAGGACTTCTGCCTAAGTAGTGCTCAAACTATGGACAGAAGGGCTAAAGAATTACTTTTTCCACACCGATCCCAGATGGACTTAGAGGCAAGGTAATTGCAGACAAATTGGTCATTTCTTCTGCTACTTAAATTGCATATTATTTAAGAATAAAATGTTTGTGCTTGTTCAATGAGGACTAAATTATCCCTGCATCTCCTAGTCATCGTGACTAGTAACAGGAGGATTACTTAAGCAGTTGCTCTAATATTAGCTTCTGAATGAGATTTTTCTCGTAAAACTCATGTACAATTCAATAAAATGTTTAGAGCAGTATAAAATGCTGGAATAGAAAATAAAAGTCTTTAATTACTTCACTTTCACCTCCTCCAAGGAATATGAAAATGTTCGTCGGCAGCATGAGGATGTGAAACAAAGCCGAGACCAAGCCAAGGAGGAACTGAAGAATCTGAAAGAAATGCAGTCCCCAGTGACAAAAAAAATACAAGAAACTGAAGAACGTTTTAAGATTCTGGATATGAAAATGAGAGATAAGGTAGGCATTTTAAGTTCTCAGTTAACGTATGTAATATTTCAGGTGTTCTGTGTTCAGCTTTGTAAAGTGTAAACCAATAACCTCTTTCTAGTGTGCCATATTGATGTGTTTTAGAAGAAGTTTTTCTCAAGTACTCATGCCCTTGGTTCTCACTGCCTTCTCCATGTCTCTGTTCCATTCCTCTAATATTTAACCTAATTCCATAAGTAAGGTATAATTTTTTTGTTAGACGATAATCTTCCATTAGCTGTGAATACTTCTATGCATAGAGGAGTTTAATGGTAAACGTACCTATGCCTTACAGCTTACTATCTGTTTTTTGAATAGCTGCCCTCTCTGGGGATATGGAAAATTACTATTTCTGTATGACAAATAGAAATGTACTGTAATTCTCTGTGGGATTTTAACTGTCAAGTACTATTCAGGCTGCAGAAGTCGTGGTATGCATAGGCTGCACAAATTTTTATTGGATAAGCAAAGTTAAATGGTAACATGAGAACATTTGCTGCAGTGAGTTCTGTTTGAAGATAACTGATCAGATCAAAGGACTTGGTAGGGAGACACTTGTGACACCTGTAGAGAACTGCTGTCATGAAGCATCTTGCAGAATCGGGGTCTGAAACTTCAGTGGCATTTAGTGCACTGTGAGCTAATACATTGTCTATATGCTTTCTTTAAACAAGCAAACAAACACCCTTCCCCCAAACAAACAAAAATCCTCAACAAAACCAAACCTGAAAGACCAGACAAACAAAACCCACAGATTATTGTTCACACCACTTTTATTTTTGTTGGGATGTAAACTGTACCAGGCAATACTAGTTACCCAAGCACATTATTATTGAGATTAAATGCATCTTCAGCAATTTTGCCGACAACACCAAGCTGTGTGGAGTCGACATGCTGGAGGGAAGGGATGCCATCCAGAGGGACCTGGACAGGCTGGAGAGGTTGGCTCATGAAGTTCAACAAGGCCAAGTGCAAGGTCCTACCTGTGGGCCAGGGCAATCCCAAGCACAACTACAGGCTGAGCAGAGAATGGATCGAGAGTAGCCCTGAGGAGAAGGACTTGGGGGTGCTGATTGATGCTTAACATGACCTGGCAACGTGCACCTGCAGCCCAGAAGGCCAACTGTATCCTGGGCTGCATCACAAGAAGCATAGCCAGCAAGTTGAGGGAGGTGATTCTGCCCCTCTACTCCACTTTCATGAGACCCCATCTCGAGTATTGCACCAATCTCTGGAGCACTCAACAGAAGAAGGACACGGACCTGTTGGAGCAGGTCCAGAGGAGGACCGCAAAGATGATCAGAGGTCTGGAGCACCTCTCCTATGAGGACAGGCTGAGAATGTTGGGGTTGTTCAGCCTGGAGAAGAGAAGGCTCCGGGGAGACCTTATAGCAGCTTTCCAGTATCCGAAGGGGGCCTACAAGAAGGCTGGAGAGGGACTTTTTACAAGGGCATGTAGTGATAGGACAAGGGATAATGGCTTCAAACTGGAAGAGGGGAGATATTGGGGAAAAAAATTTTCACTGTGAGGGTCGTGAGGCACTGGAACAAAATACCCAGTGAAGTTGTGGACGCCCCATCCCTGGAAGTGTTCAAGGCCAGGCTGGATGGGGCTTTGAGCTGCCTGGTCTAGTGGCAGGTGTCCCTGCACATGGGAGGGGCCTTGAAACTAGATGAACTTTAAGGTCCCTTCCAACCTAAGCCATTCTATGATTCTATGATTATTATTAAGAAAGCCCTTTGTTAAATGTATCCTTTGAATTTTGTGTTCCACAGTACTGCAAGTGTTTATTATACTCTCATTCAAAAGTCCTAATGTTTAAAAATGTTGCCATTTTATTGAAGTGGGCTTTTTGGGGTGTGGTTGGAGGTTTTTGGTTTATTTTGTTGTTGTTTAAGTGTAAAATGCTAAGCTTTGTTTTCGTTGCTTGGTATTACCCTGCTAGGTTTTACTCATATCTTTCATTTTAATTGATGTTACACTAATACATTTTTTCCAACAGGAAAGAATTCTACTGAACCATTGCTACCACAATTCTTAAAAGTACGGGGCTATATCCAGATAAAAGTTATACTCTGTTGGTATAAGTTATACTCTGTGTGAGAAACCTAGGACAAAACAGTGAGCATTTTAGTTTTAACTTGCAGGGAGCATGCTCAGCATAGGTTATGTGCTACAGAACTGTGAAAGAAAAATTGGGGGAATGTAGTAGCTGATGGACTCACACTCTTGAATCAATGTATTTTTCTGCTCAATCTAAACTTGTGGAGTACAGCTTTCACATGCTATACATTCACAAGGTTAACTGTATTTTTTTTTTGTAAAAAAAAAATTTTGTAAAATTGCTGTTTAATTTGGGCCCAAAGATTGAATTAGGTATATTTTATTCTGCATTTTGTTACTCTATTCCAGAAGCCAAAAAGATGGGAAGAAGGAAAAATGCTACATTTGAAACAAATAACTTAGAATATCTCAATAAGTCTTCTATAATACTGCTTTCCAGAGCTTATTTACCATTATTTTGATTGTAATGTATGGCTGATACTATGTTGTATATAATATTATGATGAGACATTTCCAAACTGGAGCATGTTCTAATGTTAAATGATATATCCAAGTCTAATTTGAACGATTAATATTCCATTTTGAAGAAGCCCCCATAGAGCCCAAAATCATGGGAAAAGGGAATATATTACGTACCTGGTTATGGCATGAACAATTTGTATGACATCAGGCAAGTTAACAAGATGTTAGAGGTGTATTGCTACATTTTGAATTTTTGTGATAGTAGCTCTTTTTTGGGTACCGAAATCCGTTTCCCTACCACATACTTTCTTAGTTGGGCTGTGAAAATGAAGTTCTTTTAAAGGAGAATCAGTGCTGCTTGCACTGTCAGGAAATAGTTTTGATCTAAGGGAAAACCTTAAGGCTTTTATGTACCATACCTTAAAATTGCTTAAATTGCTCATTCTTCATTAGTTCTTCACTTTTGCATATTCATGCTTGAATTTATTGTAACTTAGAATTTTGTCTTCGTAGATGCAACAATTTGGTGAGCATTTCACAAATAATTATGCTGTAAGCCACAGCAGGAGTTGATTAATGAATGATTTTATTACAAAAACAGTATAACTCTCTTTTTGGCCCAAAAGATTTTTCAAGCCAAATTTCACTTTGGCATTAAGGGAAAGCAGTTTAGCATTTTAGGTCCTCTCTGTTTTGGACGCACTGATCTGTAGGGAACGTAATTGTCTTCAGGCCTTTTGGTCCGGGCTTATATCCGTTATCAAATAACTGTAATCCTGACTGCTTCTTGAGATCTTGCTCTTGGCTTGAGGATATGTATGTGAGAGCAGAGATAAACCACCTATTCATTATGTCTTGTTTGCACTTGGTTGGCAAAAAGTTAGGCATGGCATTACAGATTTTGCCTGGAAGCAGCTGGACTGAAAGTAAAGGTGGAACTAAACCTGGGAAGAAATTAATCTATTGAGACAGTGCATGACTATTTCTCTTGTCTCTCTGCGTTAAAACTCTTTTAAGGATTTGGTTAGGCTAAGAATTCTTTGTAAAATTTTGTGCTCTGGGTGTGTAAGACATATAGATTTGGGGGGGAGGGGAGAAATCAGCTCTTTTTGTAGGAAGAGGTTGATAAAATTGTGTGAGAGAAGCCTAGAATAGTTTCTGCTTTAGGCTCTTTAAAGGCATTTGAACAGACCGGACTACGCAATGCAAATTTTTAGCAGTATTTGATAGTATAAAGCAGTGTGTTATGGTTGTACCATGAAAACCATAAAGACAATTACAGTTGTTAACCTGTTGTGTAAGGTAGGTGTATATAAATGTATGATAATTGAAAATATAATTGAAAAATTTAATTTGAGTTCCTTACTAGTGTCCTGATTTTGAGAGACTTCAGAATTGTTTTGTGAATATTTTGGGTCGGTTTCCTGGGAGAGTGCTTCCTCTCCAGAGTGCCTGCCTGAGGTCTTTGGAGAGAGTATCATAGCATCAGTACCTCATGGCAGTCAGCTGCAGGACCAAGATGTATTATTCCATGTTGCTTTCATGCAAAGTGCTGTAGAGTCAGGGTCCTAAATCTTTGTGCATCTTTCAGGTTGTGGGAGGGAAAAGGTTCTGCATAGTTTCATTTTCTCCATTCTTGATGTGTCCTAGCGTTTTCAGGATGATTCAGTTTGTAGGAAGACATTTCTTCCAGCAAGAGTACTGTGGTTGCTTGTTTCCATGTCTGCACTGGAATTTACTTACAGTCCTTTCATCCTTCAGCAGTGTCCCAGTATTCTGTTTGCACTGTTTTCAACCTTGAGGGTTCAGGGAAGGAGGGATTAACTTTGTAGAGAAAGCGCAGCACACTTCCACTGTGCTCAGGACTCAGCTGTACAAGTGCCTGGGCAACTCGGTCTAATAAGACCTGCTTTGAGCATGGGATTGGACTGGGTGATGCCCCGAAGTCCCTTACAACCTGTATTCTACAACTCTGTAGAAGCTGAGAAGGACAGAGAAAGAATAGAGACATAGGTGCCTACACATGAGCCAAAAAGTTGTCAAGCTCAGCTGTTTAGGATATAGCTTTAGCACAATGCAGTTCAGAGGTAGGATGACTTTGACAAATTCTGTTTTGGCTGTCCTGTGCCTACGAACTTACACCTTTCTTCCTTTAAGTATAAGCTTTCCTTGGTAAAATTAGTTTGGGAAACAGACAAGAACATTTTATAAGGTAAAGGTCTGAATGTAACGTTTTTATTCAAATGGAGGATGGAATTACTTTAATTTCAGATTAGATTAGGAGACTTACTCTATCTGTTGTGCCTGAATTTGCAGATCTATAGCTGAATGGTTGTGAACAGTTTATATGCCATTATTCAGTTCTTCACAAACTGCTGAAAATATATATTACAGATACAAGTAAGAATAATAAGAAACTGGTGAGTATGACTTTGGCAGTAATAAAATGTGGAATAAATGCTTAGTTATGCATATACAGAATGTTTTTTAAAATATGACTGCTTTTTACAAGTATAACTATAACTGAATTTACGAGTATCTAATTTAAGTATTTTACTGTATGCAGGCTGCTGAAATCAAACACATTTCTCAAAAATGTAAACAGAAGCAAGATGCCTTGGAGATGAAAGATAAACAAGTAAGTCTTGATATTTGTAACTTTTTTGGTGTTTCTTTGCTAGTGTTTTAATTCAGTACTAGCTATAGTATATGCTGCATTCGGGCAGAATGCTACTTCTTAAATTCTGCAGTAAAACACAGATACGGGTGTTTTTTTTGTCTGCTCTTCTGTTAGCGAAGAGGGAGATTTCTCTGAAGAGGCTGCACGTGCTTCCACACTTCACTTCCTCCAGTCTTTAAAAAGCCTTTTAGTCAAACATTACTACGAGACAGTTGTATGCTACGTAAGATCAGTTACCTTAATGCAACAAACCTAAGAATAGACAGTGTGTGTACATATACTATATATTATAGATTTTCCTTGAAAAGCTACAGCCTTTATAGTACAATAATGCACTCAGCATTAAACATGCCCTCAAATAATCTGTGCAAGAGGCTAGAGTTACTGCTTCTGTTAAGCGTATGCATCCAGTGGTTTTTAAAAATAATACACAAAGATAGGTTGTAAACCAGAACTTCATCTAAGCACTCGGTCAGTTTATATATTAAATGTATAAGGGTCAATATTGCAAATTTGGTTTGTGCTATAGGTTTTATGCAATCTTAGACTTTCAACTGTGTTAAGGAAGATGTTAAACTTTAAGCTTCTGTTTTTGTAAAAGTAAAAGAACTTCAAAAATTTATTTAAAAGCTTGATTGTATTTTTCCTTTAATGTTCCTAAATCTTTAACAAAATCTTTCTTCAACTCTCTTAGGTCTGTTAGAACTATAACAGACTCTTACGGTTTTAGTGCATGGTTACATCAACATTTAATACCACTTGCACAGATACCTTAGTTGTTTGTTGTAGGTTTTGTATACTGAATGCCTTTAATGTTGGAAATACTCGAAATTCTTAGATTGAAGAAATTCATAAAGCTTTGAGAATGAAAAAAGATGAAGAAATAGACAGACAGAGGAAAATACACAACACTCACAAGATGATAGAGGACTGGAAGAATGAGCTCAATACAATGGCAGACTGTGAGAATCTTCAGCCACAAACTGATGCTGTTAATAATGAGCTGAAAAAACTGCAAGAAGAAAGGGCAAATATTGATAGTGATATCAGTGATCTAACAGCAGAGAAAATGAACCAAGAGAGGGAAAAGAAAAGTAAGTTACTTGGGGTTTTGTTTCTTCATGGCTTTTTTTGGCTTTTTTTTTTAAATGACTGTTTGTACAGAATCTACTTGTTGTCCTGCTGTAGTGAAATAACTTGAGACATTTACCTCAAGCCTCAGTAGTTCTATCTTACAGGTATATCAGTGCTCTTGTCTCTTATCAGTTTCATTATAAGTAACAGAAACTGCTTTCAAAATAGAAAAAGCAAGGAAGATTCAAAAGTGGCAACCAATCTTATAACTATCTTTCCAAAAAATTAGTTTCCTGTGATCTTTAGGTAAGGAGACTGCTTGCCAGTTCAGGTTTTTTTCTGTTATTAAATGAAAATGTGTACTGTTAGCAGGATACAAAAAAATGAACCTGAGGCAAAAGCAGTTTGTTTTGAAGATGCGGCGTTTAAAATTATGTCACTTGCAGTATATTAGCTACTGATGCTGCTTTTGTCCTTTCTAGATAAACTTGAGCTAACCTTAATTATAGTAAATTCCTTTATACTAGCCTAGGATTTACAATTAGTTCTTTCTAAGAAACAAAATTCAAAAATTACATCTTGGCAGGTAGGGGGTGTTGTTATATATTCCTTGGGGAGCGTAGTACATTTGCATGTACCTGCCTGGCTGACACTTAACTTGTCACAGAATGCAAGAAGAAACTGAGGTATATAGAGACCAAGTGACCTAGGGAAGGAGGCACTATGTATTTTACCTTGAGAAGCACAGAAAGTATTTGATCTGTGTTTCTCCTGAATAGCAAATGCTTTTGCACACAGTCTGTAGTGACACATTTAGTTTTCTGCAAGCGTGAAATAACACTCGAGATTTCATGTTGCTAGTCCCACTACCTCTTTCCTCTTGGAATGTTTTTGGTTTTAAATACAAAGGTAGAACAAGTTTTGAAGACAGATATTTTTAGGACCAAAATCTGATGTTTTTACTATGCTGCCACATTTCGGTATACTTTGGGTAAATCTTCATTTTATTTTAGATTTTAAGCTTTAATAGTTCTTAAATTTTCTTTAGAATAAGCAGCATCTTGATTGTGGGAATAGAAACTCGTAATTCTTATGATCTCCTAACAATCTTATTGCTGGAGTAGTATAGTTAATAACTGCTGGGAAGTGCTAGTTACAATGTGTACTTGCTGTGTACTCTGTTTAAGAAACTGCCTTAAATTACAGGAATAATTGATCGCCTTGGACAGCTTAATAATATAATGAATATGAAAGAAGAGAACCTTAAAGGGAGATTCCGAGACACGCACTCTGCTCTTATGTGGCTAAGAAGGAACAAAGAAAAGTTTAAAAAAAAAGTTTGTGAACCCATGATGCTTGAAGTAAGAAAATTTACTTGCATATTGCTCTAACCAGTTATTGTTTAGTTTGTGTCGTGCAAGACTTCAAGAATGACTTTAGACTTTCAAGACATCTTGAAATTTACAATTACATGTGGGATACATTAACATGGTGAACTATTTGTAATTTTAACTTTTTAGGCAATGTAGTAATACTCAACATTGAGTAAGATGGGGGGGTTCCTTCCCCTTGCCTCCTCAGGAAGCAGTCCTTTATTAAGGACCTCATTGCAGGTTTCCTCTAAGGTACATCCCATTATTTAGACTTAAGTAGTTTTTATTTGCTGCTTAAAAAAGCTGTGTTAGCTACAATTGAATACCTCCCCTTATAGCACAGCCCGCTCAGCAATGGTTACATGTCACTGCGATCCCCAGGTGTTTTTGTAGTTTGCTTTGCACAGCCAGCTACAGACACAGAAACACCTCAATTATCCCTAGTTGTTTTGTGTTTCTGTTCAACAGGTGCTGTATTAGCTAGGAATAGCAGGACTAAATTTTCAAAGAAACTATTGGTTTTCTAGTGCATTCCTCTACCATTATCCCATCCTCATGCAATATGTGCTCCATATAATGTGAAGAGGATGAAGAACTCTGGTGCATTCCTCCTCTTCCTCTTCAGAATTGCAAGCTTATTTTAATAGTATATTGCTACAATTTAAATTAGTTGAATGTTGAATATTTGCATACCAATTCTTATGCTTTGTGCATCTGCTAGAACTAAACAAAAGTAATTTTGAATAGTATAAAATACCAAGTATTTCCTGTTATTACCAGAACTTCCAATTCTTCCTGGAAGACCACATCAAGTTAATTTTACAAATGCCTTGATAGGATGCTTTTGCTTTTACTTTAAGGCCTCATTAACCTCTGTAACATCCACTAGTGTCTGAATTTGTTTTCTTTGATATTATGTAAGTTAGGTACATGAGACTAACTTTCAAATTGCTAGTAAGTATACCCAGCCTTTGGCTAACTTGATGTTACTGAATTCTGTAGTTCTGTGTAATTTTGCCTTTGTATGTCACGTTCAAACATTAACATTTCATTCAGATATTAAAAGCTTCACCCATGTTAAATTTGAAATTTTTTACTGTATTTTTTTCAGTTTTCAAAGAGAATGCAATCAATCTGTGAATCTGTCTCTCTAGGGCATCACAGTTCTGTATTTGTTTGGTCATGTTCCCTGTGTCCGAATCAAAGTGAACTGCATATGAGTAATTTGTGGAGTGTGGCATTTTCTGGTTTTGATTCCTTAGATTAATTGTTTCTAAACAGTGAGATACCTTTAGTAGTACTGGAGCAGAGCCACTAGACATGAGATGGTGGTCGTTGCAATTTTAAGGTTAAGGTGTAGCAGAAGGGGGTGAGATGGAATGGTGGAGACAGTGATAGCTCCAGGAATGCTGAGAAATGATACGGATGGCTGAAAACTAAACACAGTGACATGTGAGTTTCTGTAGGTTTCCTCCCAAGAGAACAGGTTGCAAAAAGACAGGGAATATGTCTTTAAAGACATTTAAACATTGTCTTTGTTTTCATTAAATGTAGGCTTGGATATCATCTGACTGCTTAAAATGGTTTGGTGGGGGGTGTTAAGTCCAATTGTATTAAATCACTTTCTCATTACATTTCTTTATCAGATCAATATGAAAGACAATAGACATGCTAAATATGTTGAAAGTCACATTTCGGCCAATGACATGAGGGCATTTGTTTTTGAGAGTCAAGAAGATATGGAAATGTTTCTTGTGGAGGCAAGTAGGCACCAGTTTTAAAAACTAATTAAATACTGATGTAGGAGGACTAAACTTTGGAGTTCACCAAGTAAGTCTATGTTTAATAAGTTTTGATGGACAAGATCAGCACAACAGCTAATATGACGTGTCCTTCTGGAGTAAGATTTTTTTTTTTTAAAGCCTAGACCAACTGGAGGGATGCAGGAATATTGATAAAATACTTCTTTTTAGAAATAACTTTTGTCTTCCTTGACAAGGCAATAATCACTGAGGAGAAAATACTGTGTACAAGAAAATGACAAGAGCAGGAAGCTTCAAATTTAGTACAAAGCATTTCCAGTGCCTTCTGACTAAAGAGGCGAGAGGGCAGCTTTTGTGAGAACACAATGATCCAAGCAGCAAATCAAGCTTATATTTTCTTAATACTGCTGTTTCCTGGAGCGATAAGGAAATTGTTCCCTTTGAGAGCCAGACAGATGACGCAGGAGAAAAAAGCCACAAGATGTGGCATTAACAGTCATAATGCTTCCCAACTACTGTCCACAGAATAGTGTGATAATAGTGTGACAAACTGTCCTGACATTTTTGAAGACCTATTTTGTCTTTCACAGAAGCTAGTCTTTTTTTATATACGTGAACAGTAGTGGTGCTATCTGAGGTTCTGGGGGCTTTTCTGCCTCTGTGGTGGTGGAACCCAGTGCAAGGCTGCTTTAACCAGCTGAACTGATCTTTCATTTGTATCCTCAATGTTTTCTGCCCCATTAGGCTCAGGCTTTTCAGAGCCTCTGTAGCCATTGGTCTGCCATTATCTGTGAAAAGTGTCAATACAGGCTGAAAGAGAGGGATTCCTTATTACATCTAGCTTGGCTGTTTAGATTGAGAACCTGGCTCTGGATTTCTTTCATTGCTTTTGTTTTCTGTAATGCATGGTATTTTCAACGAGAGACATTAACTGAGCTTGGCTTTTAGAGCACTCAGTCATGCCTGAGCCAGAGCAGATTTTTGTAGGTTCTTCCAGAGGCTGTCAGTTTAAGGTAATTCTGATTCTGTGAATCGAGAATAAATATTTGACTTTCATATAGTGAATTTTTATGCTCTTTTTTACCAAAAAATCTAATGTAATCTATATTTAGATGCGTGATCATCAGAAATTAAGAGTGAATGCTGTATGCGCGCCTGCTCAATCATGTGCTGAAAGCTTACCTTCGAGACCTATTGGAGAATTACGGTATGTATCAGATTATATCAGTAGGGAATGGGGTTAAATACAATGTTTTGGTGGTGTTGCTATATATCAAATTTCTACACCAATCAATTCAGTTCAATTCTGGGTTAGTGGGACTTTTTTCTGACATTTCAGTAACTTCAGCTTGCTTACTTACCTGCCAAATTGTGTTTGATGCATGCTTTTTTTTTTTTTTTTCCTCCTCTTCAGCCGATATGGATTTTTCTCGTATTTACGAGAGTTATTCGATGCTCCTCACCCTGTGATGAGTTATCTTTGCTCCCAGTACCATGTTCATGATGTCCCTGTGGGAACAGAGAAGACCAGAAACATGATTGAAAGGGTGAGATGTCCTAAATAGCACAAATACACTGGTGGTCTAGAGTTTTATTTCAGAAATTCTTTGGAAAGTTAATGTGGAGAAAGCAAAAAATTGCTTTAGCCTTCTAATTGGCCTTTAGAAGCGAGAACAGTTCATTGTACACGAACATATTGCTAGCCACTTTAACAAATCCAGTCAGGCTAATGCAGTACTTCACAGAAAGTCAAATATATCTTTCACCTGCATACTGTTCCAAGTCAGTTATATGGAGTTGTTTTATTATAAGAACTTCTACTTCAAGTGCTTGAGATATTCTGGGCAAAATTTTGATCAGTTAATGACATGACATGACAATGCTGACCTATCGTGTTTAAAGCAATAATTAGAAGCTGCTTTTTTATATATATATATACACATTAAGATGTACAGTTTCTTGAAAATACAGTTGTATAGATTTGGTCAGATTTGGTGTGATAAATAGTATATAAATCTTTTGGATTCTTAGAAATAGGCTAAGAGGTACCACTAGGAGTAATGTCCCTACCTTAGTCTTTCATGGGTTCTTGGAAGCTCATCATTGCTGGATTGTAATAGGTAACACACATGACATTAAGTTTTCAACTTAAATCCTTATTCACTTCTCTGTCTCTGCTGGACATCTGTTGTCTATCTTGTACAGACAGTGAATTCTTAAACATAGAATCATAGAATGGTTTGGGTTGCAGGGGCCCTTAAAGATCATCTAGTTCCAACCCCCTGCCATGTGCAGGGACCCCTGCCACTTGACCAGGTTGCTCAAAGCCCCATCCAGCCTGGCCTTGAACACCTCCAGGGATGGCGCCTCCACAATTTCTCTGGGCAACCTGTTCCAGTGCCTCACCACCCTTGGAGTGAAAAACTTCTTCCTAATGTCTATTCTAAATCTCCCCACTTCCAGTTTAAAGCCATTACCCTTCGTCCTATCGCTACATGCCCTTGTAAAAAGTCCCTCTCCAGTTCCACCCAGCTTGGTGTTGTTGGCAAGCTTGCTGAGGGTCCACTCAGTCCCAACATCCATGTTGCTGACAGAGATGCTGAACAGCACCGGTCCCAGTACTGACCCCTGAGGAACACCACTTGTCACTAGTTTCCACTTGGACATTGTATTGTTTACCGCAACTCTTTGAGTGTGGCCATCCAGCCAGTTCCTTATCCATCGAGTGGTCCATCCATCAAATCCATGTCTCTCCAATATAGAGACATTTAGTATGTCATGTGGGAGGGACAGCGTTAAATGCTTTGCATAAGTCCAGGTAGATAACATCAGTTGCTATCCCTTTATCCACCAATGCTGTAACTCTGTCATAGGAGGCCACCACATTTTTCAGGCCCTTGCCCTTGGTGACACCATGTTGGCTGTTACTAGTCACCTTCTTTTTTCCCGTGTGCCTTAGCAGAGTTTCTAGGAGGATTTGCTCTGTGATCTTTCTGGGCACAGAGGTGAGACTGACTGGCCTGTAGTTCCCCGGGTCTTCCTTTTTTTCCCTGTTCAAAATGGGGGTTACATTTCCCCTTTTCTTGTTAGTGGGAACTTCACCAGACTGCCATGACTTTTCAAATATAATGGAAAGCAGCTTAGCAACTTCTTCTGTTAGTTCCCTCAGGACCCACAGATGGATTTCATCAGGTCCCATGGACTTATGTACCTTCAGGTTCTCTTAAGTGGTCACATACTTATCTTCACCTACAGTGGGCAGTTCTGCATTCTCCCAGTCCCTGTCTTTGCCTTCTGCAACTTGGGTGGTGTGGTTAGAGCCCTTGCTGGTGAAGACTGAGTCAAAAAAGTCACCGAGAGCTTCAGCCTTCTCCATATCCCAGGTGACCAGGTGTCCGGTTTCGTTCTGGAGAGGGCCTACATCTTCCCTAGTCTTCCTTTTATTGCTGACATATTTGTAGAAGTTTTCCTTGTTGCCCTTGATGTCCCTGGCCAGATTTAACTCTGAGGGCTTTGGCTTGCCTAACCTGATCCCTGGCTGTTCATGAGTTTCTCTGTATTCCTCCCAGGGTACCTGTCCTTGCTTGCACCCTCTGTGGGCCTCCTTTTTGCTTTTGAGTGTGTCCAGGAGCTCCTTGTTCATCCATGCAGGCCTCCTGGCTTTTTTGCCTGACTTCTTCATTGTTGGGATGCATTGCAAGGAGGTGATCCTTGAATGCTAACTGGCTTCCTTGGGCCCCTCCCCCTCTGGTGCTTTATCCCATGGTACCCTACCAAGCAGATTCTTCAAGAGGCCAAAGTCAGGTCTCCTGAAGTCCTGGGTGGTGAGCTTGCTGCGCGCTCCCTTTGGTACCCAAAGCATCTTGAACTCTACCGTTTCATGGTCACTATGGCCCAGGCTACCCTTGAGCTTGACGTTCTCCACCAGACCCTCCTTGTTGGTAATGACAGGGTCCAGCATAGCTCCTCTCCTCATTGGCTCCTCCACCACTTGGAGAAGGCAGTTGTCATCAATGTGTTCCAAGAACTTCTGGATTGCTTGTGCCATGCTGTATTGTCCTTCCAACAGATACTGAGGTGGTTGAAATCCTCCATGGGGACCAGGGCCTGTGAATGCGAGGCTGCTCCTATCTGTCTATAGAGGTCTTCATCCATTCAGTCCTCCTGGTCAGGTGGTCTGTAGCAGACCCCCGCTATGATATCACCTGCCTTTGCGTTCCCTTTAATCCTGACCCATAAGCTCTATTCTTTGAATTCTTTGAATGAAGACTACTTTGGGCTCTCTGAGAGCAGTAAGAGTTGCTTTTTTGAGAAACTCAGGGAATGGGCTCTGTGGATAGAGAATAATTCCTGTGTTACTGGGGATACCTGTTGTTCCTTCCCATCTTCTATGTTTCTGAGGCTCTAAGAGTGAGGAGGAGGAAAGTACAAGTGGAGGGAGTCTTAGATGAAAAGCTCCTCTCTGAATGTTTTTTCTAAGCATTTTCGTCTTTACACTGCAATTCTTCCACCACTTTGTATTGGGTCTTTGAGTTAAATTTGGTAAACCAGTTGGTATTACTACTTAGATACTCCCTCCTTTCCAGAGCTCTGGGCAGCAAGTGAAAAATCGCTGGTCTAGAGGCAAAGATAAGCCACTATTCTGAATTTGTTGCACATGGCACTTTGTTAGTTCACTTGTGTAAAGTTTTTTCTTTGTTTTTGTTATTCTTGATTGAGAAAGGCATTGTTTGCAATACTATGTTTCACACATGTCAGAGAAGGCTCAGATTAAAAGGAGACCTGTTTCATAGAGCTGAGCCTATAGGAAAAGGACTAGGATGGAATGTTGTCAACAATAGTCTGAGGTATAAAACAAAGTAAATGTGGTTTTCAGTGTCCTGGAACCAAATTGACAGAATACTGCTAGTGCTGTGTATATGATCTGAAAAAATCTTTAGTAAAATTGACGTTGTCCTGTGGAGGCTTTTTGCTGGTCCTGGTTTACTGGACACTATATCCTTTTGCAGTACTATACTACTTTGTGTTATGGTAAGTCTTTGGGTATTTATAGTATCCTTTTTGACATGAGTCATTTAAAAATAGTAACTCTAGTATTTTTATACCTTCTTTTTTTTCCCCCTATAGATGCATTTGCTTGACTGAAGTTCATGCATTACAGCTCACCTTATGATTTCATCTATTAATTTCTTAAGTACTTTTGGTTCTTTGGCACACAGGCTACATTTGCACGTTATGCACCTACAGCAAGTACAGTCCTTGTTCATGATGCTGTACAAATATTAACAGGTTTTTCCAGCATCTGTGTGTCATATCAGAATAATCAAAATCTGTTTAATTTGGTTATGGTAACATACTCTGTTTAACAGTATCTTAACAGTTCTTTACTGACCGGTCTGAATTACAAGTAGAATGATGCATTAAACTTAACAAGTCTATGCAAAAAGATGATGCTAACAAATCAGAGTCTTCCTCAAGTTCTTTACTGTGGGTTTTAGCTAGTTGATTCCTTGTTCTGAAAAGCATTGCCTTAAGTAACTCTTTTGTCAGATTAATATTTTTGTGTGCTTTTTAGGTCATACAAGAAACCAAATTTCGGCAAATATACACAGCAGAAGAAAAATACATTGTTAAAGTATCTGCTTATACAAACCTAACCCTCTCTACTAATACATCCCTGAGGGCAGCACAGTTTCTCAGTAGTTCAGTGGATACAGATGAAAGAAGACAGTTGGAAAACCAGCAACAGGTAGGAATTTGTTTCCTTGCTGTATATGATGTGAACTACTACCCATTTTATCATCCTCCCTCAGGACCCACAGATGGATTTCATCAGGTCCCATGGACTTATGTACCTTCAGGTTCTCTTAAGTGGTCACATACTTATCTTCACCTACAGTGGGCAGTTCTGCATTCTCCCAGTCCCTGTCTTTGCCTTCTGCAACTTGGGTGGTGTGGTTAGAGCCCTTGCTGGTGAAGACTGAGTCAAAAAAGTCACCGAGAGCTTCAGCCTTCTCCATATCCCAGGTGACCAGGTGTCCGGTTTCGTTCTGGAGAGGGCCTACATCTTCCCTAGTCTTCCTTTTATTGCTGACATATTTGTAGAAGTTTTCCTTGTTGCCCTTGATGTCCCTGGCCAGATTTAACTCTGAGGGCTTTGGCTTGCCTAACCTGATCCCTGGCTGTTCATGAGTTGCTCTGTATTAAAAAAATGTGGGCCTCCTTTTTGCTTTTGAGTGTGTCCAGGAGCTCCTTGTTCATCCATGCAGGCCTCCTGGCTTTTTTGCCTGACTTCTTCATTGTTGGGATGCATTGCAAGGAGGTGATCCTTGAATGCTAACTGGCTTCCTTGGGCCCCTCCCCCTCTGGTGCTTTATCCCATGGTACCCTACCAAGCAGATTCTTCAAGAGGCCAAAGTCAGGTCTCCTGAAGTCCTGGGTGGTGAGCTTGCTGCGCGCTCCCTTTGGTACCCAAAGCATCTTGAACTCTACCGTTTCATGGTCACTATGGCCCAGGCTACCCTTGAGCTTGACGTTCTCCACCAGACCCTCCTTGTTGGTAATGACAGGGTCCAGCATAGCTCCTCTCCTCATTGGCTCCTCCACCACTTGGAGAAGGCAGTTGTCATCAATGTGTTCCAAGAACTTCTGGATTGCTTGTGCCATGCTGTATTGTCCTTCCAACAGATACTGAGGTGGTTGAAATCCTCCATGGGGACCAGGGCCTGTGAATGCGAGGCTGCTCCTATCTGTCTATAGAGGTCTTCATCCATTCAGTCCTCCTGGTCAGGTGGTCTGTAGCAGACCCCCGCTATGATATCACCTGCCTTTGCGTTCCCTTTAATCCTGACCCATAAGCTCTATTCTTTGAATTCTTTGAATGAAGACTACTTTGGGCTCTCTGAGAGCAGTAAGAGTTGCTTTTTTGAGAAACTCAGGGAATGGGCTCTGTGGATAGAGAATAATTCCTGTGTTACTGGGGATACCTGTTGTTCCTTCCCATCTTCTATGTTTCTGAGGCTCTAAGAGTGAGGAGGAGGAAAGTACAAGTGGAGGGAGTCTTAGATGAAAAGCTCCTCTCTGAATGTTTTTTCTAAGCATTTTCGTCTTTACACTGCAATTCTTCCACCACTTTGTATTGGGTCTTTGAGTTAAATTTGGTAAACCAGTTGGTATTACTACTTAGATACTCCCTCCTTTCCAGAGCTCTGGGCAGCAAGTGAAAAATCGCTGGTCTAGAGGCAAAGATAAGCCACTATTCTGAATTTGTTGCACATGGCACTTTGTTAGTTCACTTGTGTAAAGTTTTTTCTTTGTTTTTGTTATTCTTGATTGAGAAAGGCATTGTTTGCAATACTATGTTTCACACATGTCAGAGAAGGCTCAGATTAAAAGGAGACCTGTTTCATAGAGCTGAGCCTATAGGAAAAGGACTAGGATGGAATGTTGTCAACAATAGTCTGAGGTATAAAACAAAGTAAATGTGGTTTTCAGTGTCCTGGAACCAAATTGACAGAATACTGCTAGTGCTGTGTATATGATCTGAAAAAATCTTTAGTAAAATTGACGTTGTCCTGTGGAGGCTTTTTGCTGGTCCTGGTTTACTGGACACTATATCCTTTTGCAGTACTATACTACTTTGTGTTATGGTAAGTCTTTGGGTATTTATAGTATCCTTTTTGACATGAGTCATTTAAAAATAGTAACTCTAGTATTTTTATACCTTCTTTTTTTTCCCCCTATAGATGCATTTGCTTGACTGAAGTTCATGCATTACAGCTCACCTTATGATTTCATCTATTAATTTCTTAAGTACTTTTGGTTCTTTGGCACACAGGCTACATTTGCACGTTATGCACCTACAGCAAGTACAGTCCTTGTTCATGATGCTGTACAAATATTAACAGGTTTTTCCAGCATCTGTGTGTCATATCAGAATAATCAAAATCTGTTTAATTTGGTTATGGTAACATACTCTGTTTAACAGTATCTTAACAGTTCTTTACTGACCGGTCTGAATTACAAGTAGAATGATGCATTAAACTTAACAAGTCTATGCAAAAAGATGATGCTAACAAATCAGAGTCTTCCTCAAGTTCTTTACTGTGGGTTTTAGCTAGTTGATTCCTTGTTCTGAAAAGCATTGCCTTAAGTAACTCTTTTGTCAGATTAATATTTTTGTGTGCTTTTTAGGTCATACAAGAAACCAAATTTCGGCAAATATACACAGCAGAAGAAAAATACATTGTTAAAGTATCTGCTTATACAAACCTAACCCTCTCTACTAATACATCCCTGAGGGCAGCACAGTTTCTCAGTAGTTCAGTGGATACAGATGAAAGAAGACAGTTGGAAAACCAGCAACAGGTAGGAATTTGTTTCCTTGCTGTATATGATGTGAACTACTACCCATTTTATCATCCAATAAGCATAGCCTACTTACATGTGTTAGTATGGTATGTTTGTAGTAAGAATGCTAGTGGTGTGTGTTCTTTTATTTCAGGACATCAATAACTCCATTAAGTCCTTGGATATGCGTTTGACTACATTGTTTGAGAGACAGAAACATCTGGAACGCAGAGACAATGAGCTCAGGCAACAGAAGAAGGAGCTTTTAGAGAGAGGAAACAGGAGGAAACAGTTGGAATCAAAAATTGGTGTGAAGTATGATAGGTAGGAGACAAACCATATTATCTATGAAACAGGAACAGTTTTAATAACAAAGGTAATCTGGCTTCTTCTTACTGCAGTGTACTTTTACCCTTACAAAGTAGCCAGTAGTTGAGCATCAGATACAGGTGATAATCAAGACAAAGAAGGTGTTTAGAAATGGAGATTAAGACAGTATTTGAGAAACCATGTAACAATGTTATAAATGGTTTCCTGTGATAAAATCATAGGATTCCAGTGAGACATCATTGCACTCATTTACTCAAATATTAACATAGTCTTCTGTTTTGGTAGCACACATCTAGATAATACTGTAACGTACATAAATGGTACTAAGTAAGCACATCAGGGATTGAGTTGGACCCTGATTGTCCACAGTATTTGTCTTAACGTATTTTCTGGTTTTGTGGGCCTCTGCAATTGTTATTCTGTTTCTGCTTTTGACACCTGGGCGTGGTTCAAGAGGTATTTCACCAAAGCTCATGCTCCCAGGAGGCAGCGTAGATGAGATTTGCCCCAGGCTTCACTCCTTCCACTCCTGTAACAGTCCCAGCAGACCTTGTACCCTCAAATACTCCTATATGTTCTTATGCCACACTGCTTTTCATTTTCTGAAAGTTGTTCTTGGTGCTTGAGTACACCACTCTTGCGTTACTTACAGTGCATTAAACTGAAAAGAAAGTATTGAGAGGAAAAAAAAAAAAAAGAAAAGAAAAAGAAATGAAAAATAGGGCTGCAGGGATGTTAGAGGGACCAGAATCAACTGCTGTATAGTCAGGTTGCTGTGAAAAGCAGTTTTAAACAGTGTGGATGTGAGCTTAACCTCCAAGCCAAGTATTGCTCTCAGGTTTCATATTAAGGATACATGTATTGTCATGGCATTTTGCTAGAATATAGAATACGATTTGAAGACAGGAGGTGGACCCTTTACCTAAACAAATATCGATTAAATCCTTTCTTTGAAAAAATAATTACACTTTTAATTTTGAATAGAGGTAAGAATCCTGACACAATTACAAGCAAGGCTGTTACAAGTTTTCTTGTATACTGTGGATGTCTTTCTGTAGAGATAGAAGTTATTTAAATAATCCTTGCAGTGAGTATAACTATTCTCAAATATTCACTTTTCTAATCTATACAAGTATCTGAATTAAGCTGGATATAATTTTAAAAGTAATATACAATGACAGAATCACTTAGGTTGGAAGGGACTTCATGTAGTCTGTAGCCCAGCTCTGTTCTCAAACCAAAGTCAACACCTGAATTCAGACCAGGTTTTCAGAGGTGTATTCCACTGCATCTTGAAAGTCTCCATGGACATTACACAACCTGTTTTGATATCCTGTTTCCACTGACATCCAGTCTGGATCTTTCTTGTTTCAACTTGTGTCCACTGTCTGTCATCCTTCTACTAGGCACCTCTTATAAGAGCCTGGTTCCATCCTGTCGATGGCCTGCTTGTAGGAAGGATAGTGGGGGGTGCTGTTAGGTGCCCCGAAACTGTCTCTTGTCTAGGGTGAACAAGCTGAGCACCCCCATCCTGCCCTTAGCAGGGCTTGTGCTGTAGCCCCTGACCATCTTCGTTGCTTTCCAAGTTTGCTCCAGTTTGTTGACGTCTGGGGCAGGGGGCAAAACTGGGTGCAGTGCTGAATACAGAGGAAACATCATATCCTCCTGCCTGTGCTTCCATGCATACAGCCAGGGATGCTGGGGGATGTTGTTGCTGCCAGGACGCACTGCTGGCCTGTGCTCATTTCATTGTCCCCCAATACCTCAAGTCCTTCCTTGCAGAACTTCTCCCCAGCCAGTCTGTCCCAAGCCATATCACTTCCAGACCCACTTTCTGTGCCGGGGGCAGGACTCAGCGTTTGTCCTTGCTGAATCTCATAAGCCTTCTGTCAACCCCTTCCTGCAGTCTCAGCAGACCCCTCTGAATGGCAGGCCTGTTGCTCCTCCCGGTTTAATGTTGTCTGTTGGCTCCGGTTTAATGTTGTCTGTTGGCTCCTCTGTGTCACTTGCAGGGATGTTAAACAGGACAGGTCCCAGTTCTTAACCCTGTGGTACCCCACTTGATACTGGTCTCCAGGCAGAATACAACAGTCTGAGCCTGACCATCCAACCACCTTTTTTTTTTTTTTTTTTAACCTATCTGTTCCCCATCCATCCCGACTGTAGCTGTCCAGCTTGAGTGCAACAATATTGTGGGAGACAGCATTGAAAAAGTGAGGGGAATGGGTTTGGATCCAGCAGCCTGAGAGGAAGGTGGGGCTGATGCAGCTTGATGCTCCCAGGTGCAACCAGTAGTGAGGCTGAGCCTGTCTTCCCAGTAAACACATTCACACAGAGCACATGCTACACAGCAGCTATGTTCATATTTACACATGACCAGTCGCACAGCACAGATTGACACACAGAGCAGTCGGGCAAACACAGCACCAGTGGCCTCATCACATTCCTACTCTGTCTGAGCAGGACAGAGTTCCCCTGATAAGACTCCTGTGCATACATATGGGCAACGTGGATCCCATCAGCAGCTGGGTGCAGACACTCCGAGTCTGCGCAGTAGCTGCCCCTGGACCTCAGTCTCACCAGTTGCTGGTGAGACATGCAAACCCCTGGGGCTGCAGCTCTGCTCCGGTTGCCTGTACAGGCTGCCTCACTCACCCCTGTGCACACCATGCAGAACTAGCTGGGACTCCCTGGTGTCCAAGTAGCCCTTAGATGCACACAGGCATGCAAATGTGCAGACAAAACCCTGACTCGCCTAGTCCCCCTGTAACAGCCAGTACCCCTGTCATCTTTCCCTTAATACATACACGTCAGCAGCTCTCACCCCTAGAGGCAGCAGACCTCATGGTCTCTGGCAGCCAGTCTGGACTCCCCTGGTCCCTCCAATAGCCCTCTCCTGTGGTCTCGCCTTTAGTGACACACATACCCCCTTGGCTCCCAGGCTGCTTCACCTACTTGCCAGCTAGTCTGGCGGCATCTTCATTAGGGATCAAACACTCGCTTGCACACCTGCACTAATGCCAGGTGCTGGCGCCACGGACAAATAGGTCTCTGACCTGTGTGACCATTCTAGTGGCTGTCTCTCAAGTCTACTCACTCTGGTCTCTCCAGTTGCTGGCACCACAGACAAGCAAGCCCTCTCCTCTGACTTGTGATCTGACTGTAGTTGCTTGCAGTTAGACACTCCCCCCACCCCCCATGAATACTGAATAGAGGGTCCCTCACCCAGGAAAAGAGTGAAAAATGGAATTGAATAAGAAGAGAGTGTGCTAAATGGGCATGGCTGGACAAGCGTATTGACCACCCAACTATTTACATGTAACTGTCCCTTTATCCCCATATCTCTCCATTTTCCCACACTTGTTCCTCTTCAGGTCATCTAGATCTCTTCCTTTCCCTGTATTTGGTTTCTCCCTGAATGTCCAATAGTAAGTCCTGAGCAGTTGCACAATGTTTTTCTGCTGCATCCCGTAATACACCCCCCTCAGTCCAGAGTGTGCTGTGATGTTGACTTAACTTGTTGGGTTTCACGGCTGGATACTGGTGCTGAGGCTGTGCTGGCTGTCCCTCTGAGTCCTTAATTTGGGTTTCCATGTGTTAGGGTGCCCCTGTGTTCCTCTGGGCTTGTGGAGATGGACATTTTATGGGCTGATGGCTTCTGTGATGGGTCTGAGGATAGCCAGGGTAGGGTATTATTTGGGCTTCCACCACCTGCTATGGTCTTTCCTTTTTGGGTGTGCAGGTGAGCTTTTATCTGATAACTTAATGGAAAGCCTTGCTAAAATGGAGGTAAATGGCAACCACTTGGTCTCCTGTCATCAAGTTGTTTTATATTTGGGTTCATCAGGTATGATGTACCCTTGGTTAATGCTTGCTTATTCTTCCTGATCAACGTTCTCCCTTATACCCCTAGAATTGTTTTCTGAGGAGGCTTGCTTTGCAATTTTCCTAGGGATCAAAGTAAGAATGACTGGTTTGTTGTTTCCTGGGTCGTCCTTTTGGCCTGTTTAGCTATTTTTCAAGATCCTCAAATGCTTTACAGCTCACTAAACAGCATGATTATTTCATACGAAGTTCTTCATAATTATATGTTTTTCAGGTTTAAAACAAGTGAAAATTCTGGTTTTCTGCAGTAAGTTGAGGACACGGGTTTTTTTACTAGTATGTATAACAAGAATGATGCAAACCTCCAGAACTCTCCTATGTTGTATTTTTGCAAGGAACTAGCAGCAGAAGTAAAACGTCATCCTTACATGGATATTTTATTATTTTTTTAATCCTGAAGTTTACAGACATAAAGGATTATGGTTGCTGAGTGATCCCCTTAGTAGCCAAAATCAGTTTCTTTAATTATGATTTTTTTGTTTTTTTTAATTTCTTAGGTTTAAAGTGCATAGATTGGGAATGCCTCTAATGTATTTGGAATGTCTAGGTATATAAATTCCTATTCTTGCTAAATAACATCACCAAGATGAATAATTTTTTTAATTTTTGTACAATTTATTTTTGATTAGGATTAATCAAATATGAATTCCTCTTATAGTTTAAAACAGCTGGAACAAGATGCTATCAACCTAGAGAAGGAATCTGAACAAGCAAATGTAAAAATCAAAGAAATAAATACCCAAAAAGCAAGACTTGTCACTGAATTAATGGATCTCATAAAGGTATGTATTTTTAACTTGGTATGTGTTCTACTATTGTGAAAAGTCCAATTCTTGTAACTTTTGTAGGAGGTATGCACCATTTGCATGTGTTACTGTAAATGTTTACAAGCTAACTTGCTTCAAGATAAACATCTTTTGAAGCTTTTATGAACTTGATTGAACTTGTTCGTCTGTTATTGATTCAACTCGTAGATCATTTGCTTGTGTTGACTTAGACTCTGAGTGACTGAAGTCTTACAATCTATGGTCTGATTCAGTAAATACAGGAATAGACTAGGAATGAACTGTGTGATCATTTCAGCCTGTACATTTTCAGAATACTGCATAATTCTGTGAACTGTGCCTTCCACTCTATTTCATAATCTCCTTATTTTGCTTTTAGTGAAAAAAAGAGTAGTCATTAGTCATGTGAAAAATTGACCTGAAACTGTAAGGGTCCGTAATTATGGAACAGGGCTAGGACGGGAAAAGTACTCAAATCTGAGGCTTCAATATTCTGAGGTTATCTTTAACTCAAAAAAGGAGAAAACAGTCTGGACTTAATTGTTGTTTTAGCTTAGCCTGTAAGCCCTAATAATGGGCTGCTGTTCACAAGGTGAATTTTCGTAGTCGTTTTTTTCTTTTTTTTTAAATAACTAAGGAACCTGAAACTGTTACTTTTAGTTCCAAGGGAATCTGCTTATGCTTTTTCACTTAGCAAGAAGTGGCACCATTCTTGCAGATACTTTGAGCTTTGCTAAATGTTGAAATGTGTTCTTGCTTACCCCTGAAAAGAGTTGAATATTACCTTTGAACTGAGTCAGTACAGTTCAGTTGCTGGTATTTTTATAATAAATATAAATAATGTATTATAAATAAATATAATAAAAATATTCCAAATAGGTGGGCAGCTTCTGTCTGTTGATAGGCATTGACTGCAGCAATCGGAGTGTTTCAGAGATCACCTTTGGGTCAGCTAGCCAAAGCAATTTTGAAAATGCCAAAGAATGGCAGAAGACACCTGCCATGTTACAAGGGTTGCTTAGGCTGTCGATTACTTTACAGAACTTGTGCAGGTAATAACAGTACTGAAAAGTAACTCTTTTCAAAACTTGTGCAAATGCTCTGTGCTTAAAACAGGAATTTCTAGAATATGCTTTTTGGTTTTGTATTTGATGCCCATTTCCCTGTATGTAAACTGTCCAAGCATGTTGCTGTTGTAAAGTGCAGCTGAAGTTGTTTACTGACTGCTGTATGACCTGCCTGAAGGAGTGTCTTAATCTGTCTTTCACCCAGTATAGGAAAACAGATTTGACACATACTGTGTATTTCTCAGTATATCAGGGGTATAGGGGAGGATGGATGATATTTGCCTGAAATAGTTATTGATTACAAAAGGGGTTTGTTTTAGTTGTGTGTCAGTTTAATTTTCACACGTTGTGTGTTGTAGGAAAAATACGCAAGTATGTACTGAAGAGAAGAAATGGTCTGATACAACAAAGGTGTTTCATTGTATGTTTTATTAACATTATTGAAATCCATACATTTCTGGTCATCCCCAAACCACACTTGAATGCTTCCAAGTTTATGGGGGTCCTTCTACTTTCTTCAATAAGTTTTGTAATTATACTAGCTGTAGGGTTTTAAAGTGCTAAAAGCTTAGGTATTCATATGTTTCAGGCATACTCCTGCCACAGAAGGAAATTTAAAACCTATGTGGAATTTTTGTGTGTTTGCATGGTGGCAATATGATCTACTTTTCTAAATGTTCGGGGGCTTTTGTGGAACAGTCAACTAGAGTGATAGGCTGCATGTGCATTTGAACAAATACACAAGGCAGAGTCTACCTGGCACATACCTAGTACCTGTTGATACTTCACAACCAGTTGACAGAGACAGCCTTGTCTCAGATTTTTGCACTGCTTTTGCATGTAGTTCTCTATGTGCTGTTGTCGTTGAATAATCTTAACTTTTTCTATTTTTTATCTTTTGTTATGACTTTTTTTTTTTCAGCTTACTTTTCTGATAATTGTTTTTAAACTTCTTAAGTGGATTGGAAACGAATAAACTATTCCTATGTCTAAGTTTACACTGCAGAAACTTTGTGTTGAAATGACAAATAGTAAAGATCTCGGACCTTGCCTCACTATTGTGGTCAGAAGCTAACACTCTCAAAACTTCATACTGTAGGTCCCCTAGGCCTACAGATGGAACCTTGTCCTCCCTTTCATTAAGACACAGGATTCTTTTGTATTTATATGCCAATCATTAAAAAACCAAAAATGGTAAACTGGTGTTCTCGGTGCCCCCGTAATTCAAGGTTTGAAGCTACTCTTCACACAGTCAAAAATATATTGCTGATTTTGAAGCCTGTAGACCATTCCTGAGGCTGACTCATTTACAGATGCAGCTGTTTTAATGTCAAAGTTTTCAAACCAGGTTATGGGGATCATGAAGCTTGTTACAATACTTCCAAAATGGAGCCTCCTTCTGTTTCATACGCTGTTCCAGTTGAGACACAAGACATTAGAGTCACTGTCCATCCAGTCAGTCATCTTGCATTGTCAGTGAGAGAGGCATATATCTTACATGTTTATTCTTTGACCTTTTTCCATCTCTCTGTGTGACTTCTGAAGTCCACCAAAATCTACCTGTTGGATTCTGTCTCTGGGAGAGAATTGAGATGGTTCTGTCTTTTCTCACATTTTACATGTGAGAATATGCTTTTTGTATAAAATTATTTGGTCACAAGTGATATGTACATGCTTACAGATTAAAAGTACACAGGGCCTATACATCTTGAAGAGCCTGGATTACCAATAAGTCACTTTTCTTTTTCATTAAATTTGATAGACAGCAGTGTTGAACAGCTGCACGCAGTGTGAGATTGTATGCTATGGCTGAAAAATGGGTAATTTCTAAAGCCTGACAGAGTGATCGTATCAGTTTTAAATCCTTTGTGGAAAAAAAAAAAATGACATTTTCTGTTTTCTTATGTAGATGTGTGTATCACTGAACGTCACCAAAGCAGATTTGGCTCTTGAGAGCACTACTGTGGCTGCTGAGAAGAACAGACTAGAATCAGAGTATAAAGCAGCAAGTGTACAGCTAGGAGCTGCGGAGGTAACCATTTCTATGAATACTGGGATATCTATTGGGAAAACATGTTCTGTGGAAGCCTTTATGATGTAGAAAAGGATGCTTCTGTGTCTTTGTTTAGAAATGGGTATTAGTATTGCTAATTATTCAATCTTAATTTCTGTAGTTTGACTTCAGCCTCTTCATTTAAGCTGAGCAGGTGCTTTGGCTCCCTCAGTTAAGATAGCTAAGCTTCTGTTAAAAAATGCTGAACAGTCATCACGTCCTGTAGCTTTTTATTATAATGCATAGTGTGTGTAAAAAGGCTAGCTGTTATTTGGAAGTATTTTTTTTCTTCTGAGTGTGTCATAGACAAGTAGCCCCAACCCATATGGGAGATGCAAACTCAAGATGAACCAGAAAGTACTGTATCAGAGTAGAGCAGAGCAGAGCAGTTTTGCCTTTCTTTCATGGCTTACTTTCTCATACTGTAATTAAATGCCTTTTTTTTTGGAGGACAGAAAGGAGGATAAGCGGTCCTTTTATTGATTGTATTAGGAAGCTATGCTGTGTTCAGGTAAAAAGACAGTCTCTGAGGAATTAGTTCCACAGACAAGTACTCTTTTTCAAAGAGCAGATAATGCTGTGATCTCTCATGGACTGGTGCCTAAAGGTCAGGTTTTGTATTTGTGTAGTAGATAAATCTTTCAATGTACTGGGGGAAAAACTGTCAAAGTACGGGATGGTAAGTTTTTTCCTTATCTTGCAAGAGTCAGGTTAACTATAACCTACTGCTAATTCAGTTTAGCAGCATTTTTTTTGTGTGGATCAAATTGGAAAGCAGTTCGAAAGGTAGGTGTTAGTTATTTTGGATGGATATACACTTCCAAAAGAATGACTTTGGCATATATTTAGAAAACCACTTGAGGTTATAGATGTCATCACTTGCAGGAAAATTAGGAAGAGGAGCACTTTCTAAGAGGAGCAAAAAGTAACTTCAAGACTGAGACAAGTCCAGTGTGTTACTCGGAAAATCACTGTTGCATCAGTCCTCTCACGTGATGCAGCTGTTACTCAGATTTTATCAAAATCCAATGCAACTTGCTTGGTTGCTGGAGCTTAGTAAGGAGTAAGAAGGTATTACAAAGCTGTGAACCTCATGTGAGTAGTGTGTATTGTCACTGCGAAGTTTATTTAATGTTTTTAGTTCTCTCTGTCCCCATCTTCTTCATCGTTTAGAGAGTACTTTGGGCTGTTGCATAGGTAGATGTCTGGTCAGATCAGTAGATGGGACTTGAAAGGTAAATGTTCCGATAATTCTTGGTTAAACAAGAATTGCCTCCTTCCGTAATGAAGAGGTGTTTGAGTCAGCTGAGGTCCCATTAGTCATCGTTACTGGGTTACATTCAACCACATAAGTAGAGGAATTCATATCAGAGCTTATATTTTGCATGGTTGGTTCCTGGAACATTAAAACAGAAAAAAAAACCCTAAAATCAGTAATCCCAGTAATTAGAATTTTGAGAAGTTTAATTGCTCTGGAGGAAAAGTCTTCTGAGTATTCAAGTTCATCTTTACGTTTTCATGTACATGGACATCTAAAGCCGTGCTTTGCCATATACTGCATGTTGAGTCTTTGAATTAAGTCTTTAGCTCCTTTTTTGGAAGTTTGCTTTCCTGTATTGCCCTATGAATGATGTATGTTGTACACTCTGTGGTTTATGTCTTACTTTGTACCTTAACAAATGCACTTTCCTGGGGGGATACCTCAGTATTTCTTAGCTTCATCTCAAATTAAGTGCTATTTAAAATAGTATGTTTAATTTGACCTTTGCGTCAACTTCTTAGTGGCTTTGGCTGTGATGAATTTTTTTCTTTAAAAATACTGTGTTAAGGTAGTTTCGCTCCAGAGCTGCCTGTGGGGATGCCATCACAACACTTCAGCAAAGTCTTACACACAGTTGCTGCATGTTTTTATAAAATAAATAAACTGGAAAAAAAGGAGGAAGCAAAACAAAAATAGAAATAAGTATATTGTACAAAAGCTGTGTAGTGAACTAAATTGGAATCTAAACGTTACAATTATGGGACCATTAATCCTCTATTTAATCATCAGACATTTTCGTAGGTCATGTGCTGGTCCTGGTATGTTCATTGAAATTGGATTCATGGAAATGGTGGGTATCAGCCAAAGAAGCTGTGAAACTTTGTTAATACTTAGCGCTTACTCATGGTGTTTATCTCCCAAGCAATCTTGAGTCTTTATAATATCTGAGTAAATATCTGATTAAGATTTGAAGCAAACACAAACTCCACTTAGTACATCTAAGAGAAGATCGCATATGTTCCTTTTGTGAGGTCTTGGCACTGGGATACTGTGGAGAAAACAGCATGTTTGTTGCTTTATGGTGTTTTTTTTAACCACTTAGGTGGAAAGGCCAAAAAAGTACATGTTTTTGAACAAGTCAAGTTAGCAACAACAGATTTCTGGGGTTTGTATTTTGTCATTGCTGTTCAAGTGGGAACCTTAGTGTTATTTTAACAACTCCTTGTATTTAATTTATTTAATCAGCCTAAGAAGCAAATCTGTGTTTGTGACCCATACTGAACAGTAGGAAGGATTGTTAGCCCCATCTGCTCATTAGATAATTGGCACAGTTGCCTGCATGTTTATGATGGTTGTTAGAAAGAGTCTTGCTAATTGTCTTGCTTTGATAGCTTGTTAATTTTCAGGTTCATTTGGTGTAAATTTGTTTAAATAATTGGTATTAATACTCAGTATGTACATTGCAGTATTTGGTCCTTAAGCCAAGTTTTAAGAAAATGCAGATTCTGTTTTTCTAGGTATAAATTGCCAAACTTCAAATAATTCAATGCTGTCACTGAGCATGCGTTCAAACACAAATTCATGAGAAAACATTGGCTTCTGGTAACTGTTTTCTTTAACCTTCTTCTTACTTTGCCTAAAACCAGTTGCAGTACTGATGAGCACAACAGAATGCAAATTGCTTGTGCATGCAAAATATAATTGGTTTCTGCTGTTTGGTAGATGCCTTTCAGAAAGCTGTAATCACAGCCCCGCACTAGTACAGAACTTTCCTGAAGTGCCCGGATAAAGCTCTTTCCAAGTTGTTTCTTACGCTGTTGGCTGAAACAAATGTAAAGCTCTGTCTAGGCTATGATTTTTCGTGGTAGCATCCCTGTTCAAAATGGTAATTCTTACTGCTTAGAGTTACTTTTTTGTGTCTAGATGGGTTTTCTTGAGACACCTTCAGGAAATCAACAGGAACCTTAATATTGCCATGCACTTTTGAATATATGAGGGAGAAGGAATCAAAATTTGTGTATTTTTATTGATTTATATTTATCTAACTTTTTTGGCATGTAGCCATGATAATCAACTGGCAAAGCCGAATGAAAATTAAGACTTACCTTGTTGCTGAACTGTTAGAGCATTTATTCTAGTATGTGCCTCATAACCACATCAAACGTCTGTTGCTTTCCTCTATTGCCGAGGCTTTCCTCTGCCCAAACATGTATTTTCCTTTTCACACCCTGAAGAATTTTCCTTGCCTTAGGCTTGGGTCAGGCATATTCAATGTTGAATCTATCTCAGCTTTTCAGTGCATGGAGATCAACTTGAAATGTTGTTTCATGCAGCTCTGCAGCGTTTCAAGTGGGCACTTTATGTACAATTGAGAGCTGGTATTCCCCACTTCAAATGATTCAGAATTGACTTTGGCTTTGGAAATATGCTAAAATGCATCAGTATAGAATTGATGTTTCTTGTATAAAAAAAAAAAGTATGGATGGTTGTCTTTCACTGGATCCTTTGCCTTAATTGTCATGAGGTCAAACACATTTCAGGTGAAGCCTGGCTTTTAAATTTCTGGGTTCCAAAATGCAGTCCAGTTTTAATTTAGAACTTTCTAAAATGGTCATAAAAAATTGCTTATTGAAGGTATTACAGGACATATGCAGATACGCAATGGAGCATAAGCGTTGTGGTATACAGTTTTATTTGTGCTAATTCAGAATGACATAAGGTCTTGGCTGTAGCCAAAAGGAGGGCCGTCCTCCACTTATTGCTGTTTTGTCTGTATAGCTGTTTGTCTGTATAGACAGTCCTTCTTGCCCTGATGTGACATTTCATTCCTTCTCTACAATAGACTTTATGAAGAGGAGTGGGGAAATCTAAAAAAAGCCCTCTTTTTTCTCTTTTTTTTTTTTTTTACTTTTTGGAAAACATCAACACAGTAAAAAAATATCTTTACAGTGTGTTTGTGAAGCTCATGAAATGCTTACCTCTAATGCAAAATCTATTTCCTAGTGCTTGGTGGAGGGAAGGAAAAACAGCATTTTTGAGTTGATACGTGCTGTAGAGAACAGCAGCCCTAATTCTTGAGTGAGTGTGAGAATTCCATTGATGCTCACTCTTGATCGTATCTGTTACTACTGCTTCTGTTGTATTTAGTAAGTAAAGATTAATTAAATTGCCAGAAAGTAACGCGAGTTGCTATCAGCGTCTGTGTCCTGTATTTTAAAAATGTGGAATAAACATTTATCTAACTGTATAATCTCCAAATGAACACTTCAAAAATTTTTTGCCACTGGAGGGCTCTCATATTTAACTGAAGTACACAACAATAAAAATTGGGAAGATAAAGCTCTCCCAAGTGTAGGAACGTAACTAAACTTTCCAAACTGTCAGAAGAAAGTTCTGAAGCAAAATAGTGTGCATATGGATTTTGAGTTAGAATTTTGTGCCTCTGGAAAAAAAGTGAAAACAGCGTACTTCTGTGATGTAATTCTGTTAAAAAGATGGATTGCATTTGTAATTGCTGAGTAAATGTATATAGTAAAATCATTGTATATAGTAAAAAATTGGATTAAAAGCTCCAATATCTTGGTATGCACTCCTTCTCACTTCTAAGTGGTTGGCAGCTCCCAGCTGTCTGCAGCTGGGCGCTCACCTGAGCTGGGAGGCAGCAGGAAGCAGTTACTCCCAAGCACTGCCAGCTCAGCGTCTGGAAGCAGCAGGCCTGTGGTCAGGACCCCCTGTATAAAGATGAGTGAGTGAGATTTCTGAGGAAAGAGGGGACGAGATACTTAAGGGTCTCCCAAGTTTTTTGCCTGAATACTGCTTATCTGAGATAATCTTTAGCCTAGTGTTTCATGGAGGTATCATATTTTGTGCATTGTATTTTAGTTAATGTCATGGTAACATTGCATTTTAAAAGTCATAGAGCTGGGTTGGCCACTTACCTGTAGTAAGTCCCAAAGAGTTTAGCGTTGAAACCGCTGTTCAAAACCAGCAAGTGTACTTGCTTTTCACTTATTTTTCAGCGTTAGTTTAAAAATCATGTGTGTTTCTGTTTTGTATTTTTGCTAGCTGTATTACAGAGGTAGAATATGAAACAGCAAAGGAAGTACTTCTGATTGTGTAATTATGATATTAATTCTGTAAAATTTCAGCTAAAATACCCTTCAGTGTACATCATGTCCAACATGGGTTCCCAAGCAGATAAATATAGTTAAATGGGAGCTAATAAAAAGTAAGGTTCATAGTAGTTGTGTTTTGGTTTACAGGGAATTTCCTGTAAAGTAGTCTATTTTGAGATATATAATGAATCTCCATGCACACTTGTCTAGTTGAGAGAAAATAAATGTGCTATATCACAAGAACATGCTTTTGATCAGTTTACCTTGGCATCTGTTGACTTCGAGCAGAAAGGCAGAATGAGTTCTGTGTGTTCAAACAAAGATTTTCAATCTTAAAGCAGTGAGATTTCACCTACATTCTCTGATTCGGATCTTGCTCGTTGCCAGTGTGCTGGTGACACCTCTGCAAATTTATAATAAAGTTAACAACTGTGTATTTTAATATCTTCTTTAACAGCAACGATTTCGTGAACTGGATGATATGAAGCGAGTTCTTACAGAGAACTGCAAGGAATTGCTGAAAAAAGCTCGACAGGTCTGCAAACTGAGTCCAGATCAACATCTTCCAAAAGAATTTCAAACTGTATGTACAAAAACAAATCTCCACATACCTCTTCAATTTTGGATGTTGTACACCATACTGACTTCTCCAGTGAAGAGTGTTGTGTTTTATATTAGAAGGCTGCCAATAAAGGATCACGTGCACTTCTGTTAGTGTTAACTCATGTATTGTCACTTACCCTTTAACGCACCTTTAAATAGTGCTGGGATATCCTCTGACAATCACTTTGTTCTTTGCACAGGGGAGAGAAAATTTGATCTGAAATTTCAGTTAAAATCATAGTCTTGCGTTCACAGAAATAATTAGAGGCCATATTTTTCTAGCTTCTTGCTCTAATGGAGCAACACAAAAGAACTGAAATCTGGGCCCACCCACTTACCTGGGGGTCTTCCCAGCCTGTAGAAGTATTTGCATGGCTTAACTTGCATAGCCCCTGGCTTATACCTAGTGTGTGAGCATCTGTACCTGCACAAGGTAGGCAACTAAGGAGCAATTAATTGCGCATCTTTGTTATGTAGTAGCACTTCTAGATACCAGAATAGTGAGGGAATCTTGCTGTGTTAAATTTTTAATATGTGACATCCTGACTAAAAGTAATAGAATATTTTATGGCTTATTCAGTTTCTTTTTAGCAAACTTAAGTCCTTCAATAGCATTGCTGTGTAACACATGCATCCTTTGAAGAGAAAACCAGGGCCTCCTGTTTCACAGGGTTGAATGCTTCGGTGTGTTCACTGCTTTCTCTCCGCCCTCACTTCCTCCCCCTCCACCCGTATTGTACTTGCTTCCCACTCTGTGCTAGATCTTTTGGTATAATAAGCTAGACAGCAGGAACAATGTGCTGTAAATGCCAGATTCTGCATCTATTAGAATTTTAAGTAGGTTCTTCCAAAAGAACAGTGTGTTCTGTGCCTTTTAAACAAAAAATAAAAGTTGCAGTAACCTGAAATAAGCATTGCTTTGCAATTTCTTTGCTTTAAAACTAGAAATGTATCTTATTCAGTGTGCAATGCAATAATTATAGAATTGCGTTTGAACAGAATCAGTGCAATGTGATATTTTTACAGTCAAGGTTAGAATTGGCAAACATTTTGTTGACTGCTTGTTTTTTTTATTCTGGCAGGTTGTTGAAGAATACAATAAGCAGACACAAGAAATACAGCAGTTGACGGAATATCTAGAGGAAAAGAAAAATGAATTGGATAACTATAGGCAAAACATTTCAGAGGTAATAGCTGAAATTATCACTTCTGTATCAGTATGTCTTTATTAGAATAGAATGTATGTACAGAAATAAAGGATAACATTCCAAGTTGTCTTGAGTGTAAACTGAGATGTTAGCTTCTGTAATTATGATATGTTTGCATTTAAATGCTATCTAAAGGAAAAATCGCTTATTAAAAATGGTTTTACATGGATATATCTACTTCTAGGTCAAAGAAAGGTGGCTAAACCCCTTGAAAAAGCTGATTGAGCAAATTAATGCAAAGTTCAGTAACTTCTTTAGTTCTATGCAGTGTGTTGGTGAAGTTGATCTTCATGTGGAAAATGAGGTATGATTTATTTTTCATATGGAAGAATAACATTCATATTTTTATCCATTATCTTTTGCTTGTATATTGCTAGAGAAAAAATAACAAGTTGTCATTGGGATTGTAGGAAAGATGTTATTTTTTAAAAAAATAAAAACCTTTTACTGATGAACACACTTTTTTCGTGCTAGAACTGTCAGTCTGACTAAAGAAAAATGAGTCTTTGTCCAGATGCATTGGACTTCAACTCACTGACTGTTGGAAGCTTTTTGCAACTTACAGGGCTCAGTTGGAAGCATTGTGTTTACTTTAGCCGTAACTCAGGTTTATTAAGTTAGTGATGTAATTCTACATTTTTAGCTAATTTGTGCTTTCTATTATCATTTAGCGATTGAGTCTACTATTACTAAGTCTTGTACTGATTTGATTTTACATGTAGTTTCTACTCAAGTCTGCTGGCATTTTGCTGGTTTTGAAGTAGCAATCATTTGGCCTGGTCTGTTATGCCCTCAGTAACATTTATAGGCAGGGTTTACCTCTGATGAAGAATTTAAAGCACCAGTAGTGCCTTGTGGAGAAATATTCAGTGCAGTGCACTGAACAGAAGTTGGGTATGTAATGCATAGACTCCACAGTAGTGAAATTTGACCCTTAAAACATTTTTTGCTGTTGTAAATTACTCAAGCAGCTTTTCTTAAAACAGTTGAAGAAGGCTCTTTACATGAACTACATAAAAATGTTTACATAGAAACTAGTATTATGAGACAGTAGGGCATTAAAACATGAACTTTTCAGTTTTTTTGATAGTCAGGTCTGTATTACTCAAATACTTAAATCTAAACGTAAGTTGGGAGAGAGTACACAGAAAAACAGTAAAACAGTTTAAAAGCAAAGGGAGTCTGGACTGTCGTTCTGAATACCTTCTGTGGAAGGTCTTGCTTTTCTCTTGCAAAGATGTCAGAAATAGTTTAAGAGGTTAGCTAGTGGTACTGTGCCAGTGACTAAAACCTTTTCCTCAAGGGATCAATGCCTATAATACGGTGAGGTGGATAATCTGTTCTAGAGCTTGGATTCCTTACCCCACTTCTCTGCAGCAGACTCTCTTGCTCTGACCTGCAGATATCAAAAGAGACACCCTTGAGGCAGAATTATTTTTGTTAGAAATACTCCTGTTCAAGCCTCTGTTAGCCTGCCCTGCAGGAACCTTGAGATCTGATGATGTCCTTGGTGATAGTACCTACTGTGTGAAATACTTCACTAGGTTCTTCCTTGATGTCCTAGCAAAAAAATGCAGTGAATGTTCTGACTTCCCTTGGTAGCACTTAGTAACCAGAATTCAGAGTTCTAGCAGTGAAAACCCTCACGTTCCTCAATTCCCCGCAGGGAGTTTTGAGCATCATTCTTGACAGGTTCTGCAATATCTGTAAGTGACATTCTGATGCCGTTGCGGCTGTGCTGGAGGGTAGATCTTTCTTGCTGGAGGTTTTGCCAGCCTCTACCTTGTAAACCTTTCTAAGTCTAGTTTCAGTCTGTGCCAATGCATGTTAAAGTACAGTGTGCCTAGAGCCCTTACGTCCTGGTGTTTATTTCTCCTTACATGAAGTCATTGTGTTCTTGAAGTCCCACAGCCACAGTCCCTTTCCAAAGAACATAGCAACAGCTCTGCAACTATCTGTTAGAGAAGAAACAGAAACTAAACTGTGAACTTAAGGATATTTTTTCACTCTGCTATGATAAGTGTTTCTGGTCATAAGTAAGCCAGACTTTGGGTCTGTTGAGATTGATCCTGACAATCAAGTAGCAAATCCTACTAAAATAGAGAAAGTTCATCTAAGCTATGGTGCTGTTATCTTCACTGATTAGGAGAATGTCTTACTAGCTCCCCTTAGCAAAATACTACCTCCAGTAAGGTCAGTGCAGCAACATCCATTTGTTTAGAAAGCATGCCCCATGAGTTTCCTTCTTAGGCTCCTAATTATCAGGCATGACTATTAAACTAAAGTCTGCAAATCTGAGAAGCTAATTATTCTTCTGATAAGCTGCATTAAATGCTGAAGAAGAAATTTCTTCCATAGTGGGGGAGAATGAAATGGTAACCTAAATCAGCTTGCAAATAGTTGCATTGAGCATTGCTTTGTTCTAGTGTGTCTGTCATGGTCATATAGTTCTTCTCAAGGCAGATCTTCAGGTTGTCTTTGGAAGTGCCAACCCATTGCCAGCAGGAAAAACATGAAAAGTGAGGAAGGTGACCTGTCTTCAAAACTGGAAAAAGTTGGCACTTAGCAAACATGAGTTTAAAACTGTGTCAGGTCACCTTCATTCTCTTCTAAAGTGCGTATGCATTTGCCTCAGCCTCAAGAATTCACAATTCCATGTCTCTATGATGTTGGTACACCAGAAGCACCAGAGGTTTGTAGTACGTGAAAGTAAATACCAGTATAAAGCCTTACACTTTCCAGTCCAGAGAATGTTTGTCTGCCTGCAAGTGTAGTAAAACACCAGGAACATCAGAAGATGGCTTGTTCTTCTGATTTAGCAGGTTAGCTGATCTGAGAGGATGTGATACATCCTCTCCAATGTTAGATGCTATCTGGTATGTATGTTACTCATCCCAAAGCAAGACCTGAAAGTAGCAAAGAAGCTGAAAATTGTTCCTATAGACTTTAAGTTCCTTAAGGCAGTTTTAAGACTTCAAGATGGTATGACTTACTTACTTCATGGTGGCTTTTAGACCTTGTTGTGCTTCATAGAACACAGCCCTACAATGGGGCTCTGCTCTGCCAGGTCACCCAGGTTCATAGCACCTTTTGATGACTGGTATGTGGCAATCTGAACCGAACTGGCACGTGCCAGCTTCTATGGGATGGGCTCCTCATTGTCTCTTTGCTAAATCTGGAAGTATTATGTGAGTAACCATCAGGAATCACCTCCACTCCTTTCTTCTACCCTCAGCATTACAATTGTGTTATCAGAAGAAAGTGAGTTGATGACCTCCGTGTGCTGGATTTACACTTCCACAGTGAACATGGATAGGCCTCTGGGAACTCATATTCCTGAAACTTTTGAATCTTCCCTGTAGCTCTCATAAACTTGATAAGACACAGTCTTTATATGCACTTATGTAGACCAAATGGTAAGCAATCAGCATGGGCTTTCTGCACTGGGAATTGCATTCCCATTCCTGCACTGAGCTTACCTGAACTTCAGAAGTATTAGCAAGTACTCCAAAGATTTCTTTTTTTCCTTGAATCGTGAATGTATTTCTTTGCATGGGCCTTCTTTTGAACCACATCTGTTATCCCCAAGCCCGTGCATCATTGATTCAGACTGATGACAAGTGTCAGTTTCCTGTTAAAGAAAAGGCCAGGGTCAGAATCCTTGTGTGTGGTTTTCCTGAGGGAGTATGAAAGTGAAATTGCTCTCAGTGGATTTTATATGGGCTTTGTATCTCAATCTGCTAGTGGAGGAAAAGTGAAGGATTTAATTAGACTGCTCGCACTTGAAGAGCTTCAGATGGGATCTTAACTTTGACATGTGCATCTCCCATCAGCCCAGTTCAACTTTATAATATCATGTACCCTAATGCATGTTTTGCCGATTAATGGAATTTATAGGGGCATTACTTTCTCCTTTTTCCAGCTAAGAATTTTTTTTTCTTGTCAATGTTCTTAATATGTATGAAGTCTTTCTTATCAGGGATTCAAAAATTGACAAATCATTGTCATGGGGAGGGAGCAGTATTTAAAATTCTCTCATTTAACAAGAATAGATCAGAGTTCAGGAATATATATAAAACAGAATTAACATATTAAGTTGAACCTGAGGGGTTGATAGACCCCTGTAGAACATTTGACGTAAATTTCCTTTAATTTGCGTGTCATTATCAAATAAGCTGTAGTACAGAGAAACTGAGTTTAATGGGTACTGGCTTTTATAGGAGGAATACGACAAGTATGGGATTCGCATCAGAGTCAAATTCCACAGTAGCACTGAACTTCATGAATTGACTCCATATCATCAGAGTGGAGGTGAGAAAAGTGTTTCCACTATGTTGTACCTGATGGCTCTACAGGAACTCAACAGATGTCCTTTCAGGGTTGTAGATGAAATAAATCAGGTGAGGATCAATAGTGCAGTATATAACCTCTTCCTATACAGATGCTTATGACATAGTGGAGAGAACAAACTTTGTGGGTGTTTGTTTTTTTTTCTTTTAGGGAATGGATCCAATGAATGAGAGAAGAGTTTTTGAAATGGTTGTGAAAACTGCTTGTAAAGAAAGCACATCTCAGTACTTCTTTATTACACCAAAGGTGCGTGGCGGAAAATGAAATTGAAAGTTTAATGTGTAGGAGAGTTGAGTTTTATGTCATAATACCACTAGGAACACGGTATAACTTATCTCTGTTTTTCCTAAGAACGTAACATTAAAAGGTAACTGAGAAAATTTGTCCATTTTAAGGACAGCCCTGGCGGGAATTCGAACAACTTACACCAAGGCTCATCTTATGATAAACATATTCTGAAACTGTGGCCTCTGCGGAACTATCACAAGTTAACCACCAGAGGATAGGGGTACCATGTAACAAGGCTCTCGAATGTAATGCCTCCAGCTCACACACAATTAGGATTGTAGCAGAGACCAACTTCCAAACAAGTCAGATAATGATACTGGAACAGGCTAGTGGTGCTGACATTGGGAGAACTAGAGGAGTCCCGCATTTGTAGAGGAAAACTGTTGAAGTATTAATTTGTGACTTACAAGCTCAGAAAAGGTCAGTGCTATGCTCCATGGACAATGGCTTGAAAAGGAGTTTTCAGTCAAGAATGACCAGTCCTTAATTGTGTTCTTCTGTTTAAAAAAAAAAAAAAAAAAAAAAAAGATTATTGACTTACTAGGTGATGCAGTGATGTGATGGTGTGGCTTGAGAGGACTAGTAAGTATGGTGACTGTTCACCTGCACATTTAACTAATATTATGTTCAGCCTGATCCAAGACAGATTGAACCAGTAGAGGTTATTTGTACACCAAGGAGGCAAGCATTCAGTAATGGGCTGTATGCTTTTTATTAAGATAGCAGTTCTGCATCCTGTTCTTCACTGTATTTTAGAAAATCTGGCTGGTATGTGCTGTTCTTTTCTGTAAATAGCAGTTGAAGGACCTGAGAAAAGCTACCTACAGCATTTACCTGACTGAAAGTAGACAGTGTGCTCACCTCCACGCAGTTTGTTGGGTTTTTTTTTCCTGTTCACGTTACTTCCTTCTCTGTCTGTGTTATCTGTCCCCTTTTGTCTTTGTATGATTTTTTTTCCTTATTAGATCTGCTTTTTTGTGCTCTCTCCTACTTTGGGAAATAAGAGAGTGGTTTGGATTTTGAAAGGATAGAAATAGCTCTACTAACTATAATGCTTCCCACATATACAGGACTGTAGAAAATTACTGTCTAGTGTTTCAGAGTCTGTTTTAAAAGTTGTACTCATTGTCAAATTACTAAGAATAGAGAGGGGAAAAAATTGAGTGTGCAGAGCTAATCAGGAAGATCAGAGTAAAAATGAGAAGGCAGAAGTAAGAAATTTCAGAAGCTTAAAAAAATCTCCATTTACCATTATGGTAAGAGGAAGATCAAGGAATGTCTTGCACCAGTATTCAGCAGCAAGAGATGGCATTATGAGGTGGCTGAAGGTATTTCTTTCTTCCCCCCGCTTTTCGATCAGCTGCAAGGAAGTGATCACCACAGTTAACATGGTGAAATTGTAATGGCCTACCAAAAAGAACATTATTGAGATAGCACTTCATGTAAAGGTTCTAGCTGATGAGATAGTTTGAGTGGGCTGCATCAGAGGATAATTAAAAGGCTGCACAGAGCTGGCTGAGGAGAAAGCCAGACTGCTGCTCCAGTGGCTTACCTGCAGTTCCTGAGTCTAACACTATATGTCATCACTTTCTAGTATGTGATTACATACTTGCTTTCTAGTAAGTATGACAAATTGTCGTACTAAGCTAAGTTCTGTGTATTGCAGATACACAGATTACAGTAGATACAGGAAAAACTTAGCATGGTTTTTTTCGTATGTTGATACTTTCCCAGCTATACTTTTAAGCAAGCTACAGAGAGGAAGGAGTATAGATTAGTATGCAGTAGAGTTTATTAGGAAAATTGTACTCTGAATAGTTGAGATTCACTGTCAGAATGAGTATATCAACTGAATGTGTTCCTTAGGAGTGAGTCTTGGGTTTGAAAATCGGTATTTTTAATATCAATCTATGCTGAAACAGATTACATTTATTAAACATGCAAATAATTACCATGTTGGGAGTGAATGCTGCTTTGCTGTAAAGCAAGATTAGAATTCAAAGCAATCTTAGATTAGGTAACATTATTTGAAAACAGGATACATCTCGGCACAGACAAGCATAGGACTTGATATTTAAGCGGGAAAAATCAACAACAGCATCTGGTCTAAGGCATAAATGCCTAAATGACTGGAGAGAGAGAAGTTACTGTGGATGACAGGTTGAGCACCAGTTGCAAGTAAATTGCTAAAAGTCATCCTGAGGACTGCAGATAACCCTACAGATTGCATGACATCTGTCAGTCTGCTGGGCTTGTGCCTGACAAGATTTGGACTATGGTAAGTGTCCAGCTTTGGCTGTTACACTTCAGAAAAGTAGTACAGGGGCTGGAGTTACTCCAGAAGACAGCAGTGCAGTTTCTAAGAAGTTTTGAAAGTTTTGAGTTTCCGCTGATCGAAATCGCTTAGCTCAGAGGAGCATGAGGCTGAAGAGAGGCATAGTAATTGTGCCCAAGTAACAACCTCCTCCCCTGCCCTGACAAAAAAGGAAAACCAGTCAGTATTCTGTGCCCATTGTTGATAAGGCAAAAAGATAATGACCACATTTGCAGCAAGAAGGTACAAATTAGGAATATTTTGTTGTAGTAAGAACAGTGAGACATGGAAATTGTCTGGAGAATGAGTGGAGTCTCTTTGGGGGGTTTCTAGTAACAAATCTACATCATCTGTAAGGCTATAATCCTGCTATATTGACCTTTTGAGATCTAAGGCTTTATGTAGACCTCATTCACTTTTTTTTGGATAATGGGGAAGAACATCTCTTCTAGGTATTTTGACTTTGGTTTTTGTGTTTTTCACCAGCTCCTGCAGAATCTCACTTACAATGATAAGATGACGGTGTTGTTTGTCTACAATGGACCTTTTATGTTGGAGGCAAACAAATGGAACTTAAAGTCTTTCTGTAGGCGGCGGCGACGACTTGGAAAGATGGATGAACAGTGATACCTATAAATATATATAATGTGTTTATGGAACTTTTTGGAACATCTGGCTTTCAAGACTTAAGGAATTGTAAAAGATGGGACCCTGCAAAGAATTGATGGTTAAGAACTTTGATTCTTAAAACTTGTGTAAAAGTGAAACGGATTTGAAGTGCATGATTTTTTTTCAAATCTTTCATAGTAGCCTGTTTCTGCAAATAACCTACTTTTTCCTCAATAGTAGTTTTAAATAAAAAGGAAAGTTTCTTATATTTTGATATTTTATCAGTAATGTAGCATCAGAAGTACAGTTAATTTTTTTAGGTTATACTGGACTAATTCTATGCCTGGGTTGTTGTTTTGGGGTTGTTTGGTTTTTTTGTTTTTTTTCTCCCCCAAATCAGAATCCGCTTTTGGTAAATAGCATTCCCCCTAACACAGTTAAGGATATTCTCCAAATTTTTCCTATTGAAATGGAAACTTTTTGAAAGAATGAAGAAGATGACGTGTAGGAAGAGAATGGTTTGTAAGTAGCTGTGCACTGGGTTTTGTTTTGTGGAAATATTCCTGAACTTAATATAAAGAATATACTATTTTTAGAGTCATATACTTTATTACTGTTATTTATTATTTTTCAGCTAATGTTTCATTTTATATTTCTGGAAGGATAAGGCCTTTATTTTTCTAGCAAGTCTCTCTCAGCAAGAAGACTGACAAAGAGACAAGTGTATCTGAAACAATGAGCTAGTTAGATTGCAGAAGTAAAACTAAGCAATATGTAACTTTTTGTTGTGTTTTTTTTTTAAAGTAAAACTTGATATGTTTTGGGTGATAGATGGAGAAAATAGTCCTACTGTTTTCACATGTAAGTTAAAACCAGTAGGCTTTTTATAAGACTTCAGCTGCATTGGAGTGATTGTATATGCAATGGCCTTTCAACAGATATCCATAAAATTCATTAGTAGGGTTTTGGCCATAGCTGTTAAGCATTTGAAAGTAGATGTTATCAACAGAATGCTGAATACCTAAAATAAAGTGCTAGTTATTTAGTTTGCTATAAAAAAACCATAATACTGAATTGTGAAGAGTATGATTTGGAAAGAAATGGAAACTATGATTCATATGTAAAAATATACGTAAAAATAATGGAGTCCCAGGACACAATCTAAAAATATGCAGTCCTTGTTTTCACAGGGGAGTAGCCTTCAATAGACTTTTATACAAAATTTGGTGTCCACTTGATTTTGAGTGGGAGTATTTGCTAACAGCATCCTGTCAATGAACTTTGCTAATGGAATTGATATGTCAGGCTTTTTCCATTAGAATGTTAGAAATAAATTAATCCACTTCACATATAAGCTAGGCTCTGGAAGGTTTTGGGTATTAAAAGTTAAGTAATTTAATTCTTGTTTTGAATAGAGGAGCCTTTAAGGGAATAGAGAACTACGTATTCTTACATCGCAGGCCACTGTTGATCAATGGAGCTCTGTTTGACTGTGAAATGAGTTCCTGGAATAAGTTCCATGAGGATTAGTGTCCATACACAAATATTTGACAGAAGAACTAAAAGAGTGTGGAAACTCGGGCTGTAGTCCAGGGATTGAGTGGGCCAGTAGAGTATCCTCGACTTAATTGAGGCTACAGGCCTATCTGTCCACTGTATTGCAAGATCTGGGTTTAAAATGTGTTCTTTGATCTTCAAAATACTTGGCTTGTCACAACCCTCAACTTTTAAGGTTGGTGTGTTTTGTTTGGTTTTTTTTTTAATTGAGTGGAAAAACATTCTGTTTAGACTCTGAGGATTGCTATATGAACCATGCAATTTGTTTGCAGTGTCTAAGTGAAACTACTCACGTGAACAAGTGTTAGGACTCAATTCTTCTATGGCTAGACAGCACTATCTATTCTTAATGCTGTCATCTTAGAACTTCGTGGGATTTCTTCCTAGAGTTCAGTTCCTTTCTCATGTTTCAGGCTGAGGTATGAAATGTAAGTGACTTATTTCAAGAGGATGGCATTTGAGATCCTGTCTCAAAAATTACGTCTTCTGGATATGTGCCTGCCACGCTGCACAAGTGAAGAGGATGACGGGCTTGTGGGTGTTTGTTTTTTCCTTGGAGATCTGTCAACTATTGGCCGAAAGTCCTGATTTCGATGTATCTGGCTACAATCTTAGTATGACACTGTCATTCATATTAACTGCAAAACCGTACCGCTTTCATGTTACTCACCAATAGAGCTCCACTATCCAGCAGCTCTGCTAGCTAAAGCCTTTTCAAAAGAACCGTAAAACCAACTTTGTGTATAAAAGCAGCCATTGCTATTTGCAAATGGGCTATACAACATGACTGCGTGCCTCCCATATTCATGTTGGTAACCTGCTATTTCACGTGACTGGTGTACCCTGTCCACGTACAGAGACCTTCTGGCTTAAAAGGGAGTCTTTTGAGCTGGATGGTGTGTTCAGCCATGAAAATCTACACTGAGTCGCTTACTGTAGCTACAGTGTTATTTAGCATTTCTTACCTGCGTATAGCGCCCTTCCAGCTTTCTTGCTGTTCCTTATGCTTTGCTACCCCTATCCAGCTCCTCAGGGACTCTTGTTATAAAAACCCATGGAATTAATTTCAGTATAACTTTGAGGAGGAGGGGACGAGTGGGAGTTTAGGTTAAATATACATGTAGTATCCGACTTCTCCTGCTGACTAGGCAGGACCTCTCAAAAATGTAGAAGTGGAAAGACCCCAAATAGTCCTGACAGCTGAAGTGTAAATTGAGCTTTCTCCGAAAATAGGTACTTTTCCCTGTTGTTTAGACCAGCAGAAGACTGTGCCAAAGATCCTCTTCCAGCACCATCTGCAGTTCTGACAAACATCTGTGTCTGCTCATGCATTGAGACAAAGAGAGAGAAGCAGCATGGAAATTGTGACTTACTGTGAGAAATAAAAAGATGTTGAGGAACCAAATACTGAAAAGCGCTTATAAATCACCCTTTACTGTATTTTATTTCTGAGAATGGCACTCATGCATGTGCGTTATTGTTAACTAGGAGAGCTTGCTTAGTTGGATGAAGCTGCAAATTAGAATGAGGAAGGACCCTTGCACAACTACAATACTTCTAACGTGCTTATGTGAAACTTGGGGGGTTTTGGGAGAGAAAAATAAATTAGGCCTGTTAAAGCTGTTGCTGACTGGGAACATCTGGAACATTGGTGAGACACAGAACAGGTTGCCCAGAGAAGTTGTGGATGCCCCATCCCTAGAGGTGTTGAAGGCCAGGCTGGCTGGGGCTCTGAGCAACCTGGTCTAGTGGAAGGTGTCCGTGCCCATGGCAGGGGGGTTGGAACTAGATAATCTTTAAGGGCCCTTCCAACCCAAACCATTCTGTGATCTATTCTCCAGGCTTTGGAGTTAGCGAGAGACTGAGACGCACAGAGCTGGTACACAGGATGCGTACTGAATAGTATGGTGGGTGCTCTTTAGAGGCCTGGATAGGCACCTGCTCCAGGCCTGAGAGCAAATTTTACTTAGAGCTAATGCTGCTGGAGCTTCTCGTGTATCGTTCATGCCAAGATACCCTCTTTTTTGTTACAAAGCGCTCTGGCTGATGCTTCCTTTCTAGAAGCTTCTGGAACAATGCTCCCTATGGGTTGTGGAAACTGACTTGGGTTTCTTCTGTGAGCCTGCAGTTACCTGCCTGTTCCCTTAGCAAGGCCTCCTAATTTTCTGAACATCTCTTACTAGTAGGCCTTAATTTTCACCTGCCTTGCCCAACTCCCATGCCATCCCATGCTGTCTTTTTGAAAGCAAAGTGTTAGAGCAAGCACGTACCTAAGATGCAAAATGTGCCATTCTGTTTTACAACCGTTGCATAATGTTAACATGTTGTCTGAGACTGCCTGTGCTGTCCATGCTCGGGGTTTGGATAGCGGGGTTTACCTGGGGGAGGGAAGGAAATGTGAGAGGGAGATCTGTAATTAAAGGTGCTTGCTGTCTGCTAAGCTGAGCAGGGGTCCTGTAGCTGTCCACGGGGAGTGACTAAGGGATGGTCCCAGCACAGTGTAATTCCTTCTCGTGTCCCTCAACACCACCTGTGCTGGGCAAGGAGCACCACGCTGAGGAGAAGGGCTATATTGGCTCAGTGGTATCCTAGTAACTCTATGTCAAAACGTGTTGTGATTTTTAGAGAAGTTGTTTTGATGTCGCACGCGTCATTTCCCTGTCCTCTCCCCCTGTCTCTAGTTGGCCTGCTTCTTGAAAGGTGAACTGAAGTTTTTTCTGATTTGATTGGCACAACGTCTGATGGGAGGCGTCTGGCGGGAGACCTACATCATGGGAAGAGGGGAGAACCTTGGCACTGTAGCTTCACTGTAAATAACTTGGAGCCAAAATTACTCGCCTCAGTTCTGACTCACTGAAACACAATGTCCAAAATAAATTTTCCTAGAACTTCTTGTTACAGAAGCATTTTTTTTTTTCCCAGTGCCTTGCTAATTCAGAATAAAACCAGGATTCAGTACATCGTAATTTGGAGAGAAAGGAGATGGGAAAGAGAATTAAATCCACCTCTGCTCCAAGAAAAATCCTCCCCCTGTCCCAGTCTGAATATCAGAAAATCACAAGAATGTTTCTCTGCCGCTGGGCTCACAGACCAGGCTTGCCAAGAGCCGCACTTCTCCTATGAGGCTCATTGATCAGCTGTCCTTCACATATTAGGTCAGCCTGGATGAAAGGTGGTGTCTTGTACGGAGGGGGTGATTTAGTCATTACTATATATGGGGGAGATTGCTGTGGTATCTTTGTCTGGGTTTGTTGTTGGTTTTCCTGAATAATTACAAACACAGTGTAAATCCAAAGCAGATGATCAGCACGGGGACCACGAAGGGACTTGCTCCCAGACGCCAACAGTATTGGCTCCACTCTGTGCTGCTGCAGTGATGCTTAAGAGGTCTGTTCAGGTGAAGCCACTGATGTTACAGTTTTCTATGGGCCCTAGTGGCTGAGGAATCCGGATCTCTTTTGTGTCTGCC